CAGCTGAAACGGAAACAGGTTGTCAACTTGTGATTGAACAAAAACCTTCACCTTTTTCCGTATTTCTGAAGTTCTTCCGACGAGGTTGTTAACGAAATGTCGATTGGCCAATAAGCGGGATCCTCTGATAACCATGTAGGTCCATGAAACCATACAGGGCCTTCGGGTTTAGACCCCGAGTAAGAAAATCTATGGGATTCTGATCCGTAGGAACGTACCGCCTTGATGAATTGAGGGTTTGAATCTCAGAAATTCTATTTCCTACGAAAACTTGAAATTGACGTGAGAAAGAACGAATCCAACCAAGAACAACAGTTGAGTCAGACCAAAAATAGGAAGAATCGATATTACATGTCAAGGATGATGTAACCTTTTGAAATAGTTTTGCTATAATAGAGTCGCACCACATAGGTAGCTCCAATTTAGGTATACTGCTTGCCTTGAGCGGGGCTACACGGGTTTTTGAAGTGAGTAAGTGAATGGACACATTGCTAAATGAATCAATGGACCTCAGATAGATGCATGCTCCATATGCGTATTGAGAGCACTGATCTAAAAAATAAATGGATAAACAATTATACGGATGGATTGGCAAAATTTGTGCAAAAATTTGGGGTCAATATTCTACGAACAGTTGTGCAACGGAACAGCCTAACGCCTGCGCAGTGTCTTATCTTTCGAACAACTGTTCTAAATTTTGAAATTCCTTCATTTTCATTGGCCAGATTTTGTGCACCTACCGTACATGTATCTACTGCGCACGCTCACAGCTGTCCCAGTCAGTTGTTTTTGTTTAGATTATGACCTCGTAAATTAGCAGCATTAGAAGCGTTCTTTGTTTATCCATTTATTTTTGAGATCAGTGATTGAGAGGCGTCTGAGAATCCATGAAGCTCAGTGCGAGACAAGTTTTTGCAAGAAGCATGTCTGGAAATTACCAAAGAATTGAGATCAATAAGCTCAGATCGAAAGGATTGCCACCTTTTTGCAATTTTTTGTGGAACTTCATCGTCCCATCCTAGTTGCAAGGACCATAGTTGTTGCAAAGTTGTTTTCGCTTGTATGACAATCGGTCCAATAAGTAAGCCCAGAGGGTCGAATATTTTTGCAGTTTCAGATAGGATGACCCGACCCTTTTTCTTATAGTCTTAACGTTGGGTTGAGAATCAATATGGAATGATAATGAATCTTTCTAGACCGTAGCATGCCTAAAGTTTTGCATGTTTCTGCTGAATTAAAATAATAGGTAGGTATCTCTAGACGAATTGGTCTCTTCCAAAAAACTGAGGATCTTCTGACTATTAGTTTTCCATTTTCTCAAGGAAAACCCAGCTGTTCGCGCATAGCTTAATTTCCAAACTAATTTTATTCGTATACTTGATTTTAAATTTTCTCGCCATACAATTTCAAGTTTTATATGGCACGAGAAGATTCGATGCGCTTCCCAGAAATCAGCGCACCAACCAGATTAAGACAGAGATCCGAACTTGTCAGTTGAGTTTTCAGAACCCTAAAACCGATCCTTTCAAATTCAGTTAAAAATTTCGTTAGAAAATCAACCTCATAGTTTTAGAAGATATTTTAAACCTATTTTATGTGATTGTGTTCGTCGAAGAATTGGTAGACCATCCAGGTGCACCTGCAGGAAGAAAAAACATCGTTGGAAGAACACAAGTAAGTGCCTCCATTTTGTTTTTGTATGGCTCGGGTTCAAAGATCATAGTTTTTATTTTTCGGCAAAAATTTAGATGAATCAACGCGTTTACAGTCCGGCGGCTCTTATTATCGAAGATAAATCGAAATTCAACATCAAACGAACACCAGCACTGGATAAAACGGAAGCTACTTGGCTACATAAAAAAGTAAGTTCTTGAACTGAATCTGCGTCAGAGATATAATCATCAACATAAAAATCACGTCTGAGAATTTCTGAAATCCTGGCCATATTGTCCTTATTATCTATGGCGAGTTGTTTCAAACATCTAGTTGCCAGAAATGGGGCACTTTGTGCCATACATGACAGTATTCAAGGAATAGGCCTGAAGATTGTCTTCTGGATTCGACCGCCACAATATTAATTGAAGTGGCTTAAATCCGTCGGCAAACAGAATTTGGCGGTACAGCTTGCAGATATCTGCTGTTACCACGAACGTGTGTTGTCTTAAACGGAAAAGAACTGTTAAAAACTACTCTTAATTTTGTATATAATATATAATATAATATTCTCTCATAAATTCTGTACACATTTCTTTAAGTTTTGGGTTGGCGGAAAACTGTTTCTCTAAAGCGAAGAATTGTCTTACAGCAGCTTGCTTGGAATCGCCTAGCATTGAAATCGGATTTTTCAAAGGAATATTGACCACAAATCGACCGTCATTATTTCTTTGAAAGGTTTGCTGAAAGTTGAGTTCAGCCTGCTGCTCTTCCTCTGACAGATAATTTTCTAGAGACAATTTTTCGATTTCCCAAAATTTTGAAACATGACGTTGAAGCGTGTCCCTTGTGATCAAGAGATTGCAGGAAACATTTTTCACTTTCTAACCAATTGACCCTGATATGAACCACCAAAGTTTGCTTTTCTGGTGAACAGGCATGTTTTCTCCCAAAGACTTTCTTCCATTGCACAGAAGTTTGCTAAACAACCCTATACCAATGAGAATATCAATTTTACTAGGTTCAAAAAAACGAGAATCGGCTAATTTTATATAAGAAGGTATTGGTGTGTCTATCGGAGCATTAGTTAAAGCTGTTGCTAACAAGATTTGGCCTTGCCCTATAAGACCGCAACTAAAATTCTGAGATTCAAAGTGACCTTGCGAATGTTGAGATTCTGAATCTGAACACTTTACATTGCCTTCAAAGATCTGAACTGATCCCTCGGAAGAATCGAAATTTGAGGTTTGAGCTACATTAACTGATGTTTGCTCATTCGAAGGGTGTAATAGTGAGTTATGTTTTTCGTTGCAGTACTTACATGAACCAAACTTGCACTAACCTGCATCATGATTTCTTTGTAGGCAATTCGCACAAAGTTTTAAGGATTTGGCCCTTTCTTTTTTTTCTTTTAAGGGAAGCGTCAAAAATGCTTGACATTTATAAATTAAATAGCCAGATTTGTTACAGTGAAAACAGTTATAGTTGGGTGATGGCATAAACTTAATATTTGACTTAAAAGGTGAGTTATGCTGATAACCTTCCTCAGTTGAAGAAAAGCACTTGGCTTTTGGAACAAAGTGAGAAGTTGATGGACCAAAATGTTTAGGTTTTACTTTATGCAAATCTATTTTTTCTAAATAATCCGCTCTGGATGACAAAAACTTAAGGTATCAGTTATCAATTAATACTGGAGTAGCACGATAAAGACAGGATCGAATATGTATATTAGAAATCTGATAAAAGTGCAGCGCGTCACCGACGTACTACTAGCTCTAATAAAAGGCGACTGGCTTGACCTACTTTCTCGGTTGTCCTTTAGTCCCTTGGACCGTATAAAGCGCTCTGCGTCTCACATAATTACCCCTTTTCATCGGCACACTGTTTTTTTCTCCGAAACGAGCGTTCTATTTATAGATCAGTAATTTTTATTTTAGGATATTTGTGTAACACAATGCAAAAATAAGAATTCCTAACACAGGTTGTTTCGTTGTCTGTGGAGGCCCATCCTGGCTTCCGCCTGAATCACAATGTGTAACGGACGTAGGTCTAGTAAGTAGGAATTCCATAGCTGCGGTGTGCTTTTCATGCACCCTGTAATGCCCAGACAGGCAAGTCTTTGCACTCTGCCAAGTCTCATTCTGGCTCTGTCTTGTTGTGTCTTTGTCCACCATATCAAAGACGCATAGGTTATTGCTGGTTCAACAACTGTTGTGTATAGCCAGTACATCATGTCCGGCCGAAGCCCCCAGGTTTTTCCGGAAGTTCTCCTGGCTAGTATAAGTACCACTTCTGACCTTTTAATCACTTTGTCCAGATGTTTGTTCCAAGTTAATTTTGAGTCTATGATTACACCAAGACATTTAAGTTCGTCCGACATCGTAACTAGGTTTCCTTGAAGGTAAAGATGAGGTCCAAGTCCCTCCATTTTCTTTCTTTTGGTAAAAGGGACAATTGTCGATTTGGTAGCACTAATTTCCAACCTTAGAGTCTCTGTCCACCTAGAGACCATTGTTAGAGCCTGCTGCATTCAATCTCTAACTGTATAGTTGAATTTTCCATGGGATATTATGCGTTTATTATACCACAGCAGAGGTGAAAACACTCCGCCTTTCGGACATCCCTTTGCAATCCGAGCCGTTACCGTTTTACCTAAGAGTGTGGAGTGGATGACTCTTCCTCAAAGCATGCAGTCTATCCATGTATTATCAATACCTCGTCGGCTTAGAGCTATCATTATTGACTCGAAGGAGGTGTTGTCAAACGCTCTCTCTATATCAAGGAAGGTTCCCAACATAACTTCTTTATTTTCCAATGTACTTTTAACTCGCTGGACGAGGTGATGTAGTGCTGTTTCAGTTGGGGTTCCTGCTTTGTAGCCAATGCACCATCCCGAATGTGCAGCTCGAGCAATTTTTCTAGACCCTTTAATAAAAATGACATGATGCTTATGGGTTTCAGAGCTTTTGCATTATTCTGACCTATACTGACAGGTTTAGGGATGAAAACAAATTGAGTTCTTTCCAGGCTTTGTGGATATGATTTAATCCCAAGCTTGCTCTAAATATAATCAGGAGCCTGGAGTATAGCGTGCTATTGCCTGGAATGAGTCAATGATCCATTTCAGTCTACGCCATGTTACTGCTTTTTTTACCATCTACAAGTCTTCCCTAGTGCAATATCTGGTTGTGGCTAGGTCTACATTGTTGGTGTACTTTCGCTTATAGGTTGTACTGATGACAACTTAAGTTTGAAACCGTTGCAGCATCCAACGAATGTTATATCCGCTTTCATTTACTTTGTCCAGCAGCTTATTGTTCAGAATTAAGTATAATGTAATTGTCTAGGTCAGAACCGCAGTGGATCTTCAAAAACCTTGCGAAGGCGAAAAACTAGTGAAACACAGCTCGTCAGCTGTGGACGTTGTAGCTATGTTTTGTCAGCTACGGGATTTTTGGCGACTTCTCCAATGGCCTAAAGCGCACTCCGTGTGCCTTCTCTCGCAATTATTGGACTGCATTTGTTCGGCTGCTCTCTTATACGCAGACATCACCTACCAAGGACTAATGGAGACTGGCTACTTCGATAGGTTGGGTCCGTTTAGGATATGCGACGAAATGTGTATAGCTTCGAATAATTTAGAATATGTGTATAAATTTGTATCATTGTTAGGTAAGGGTTTATATGCTTCAAAAAAACTGAACTGAAAATGTAATGTTTTTGTAGAAAACTACTTCGATTTTGTAACTCTGGAAACTCTGGCTTCCGAAATGCACTTTGCAACTCTGACCAATCAATTAGATAGTACTTTAAGTCAATTCCAAGTAAGGATTACGGATATTTTGAAACGTGTTGGACCACAAATGCAAGAAGCACTAAGGAAAGCTATGTTTCATGTAGCTTGGTCACCCGACACTTTACCAACCCAACAAGCCGTAGATCCTCTATTTGACTATCTGCATACACATCTAAAGGGCTTAAATGTGTCACTGCTACCACAAAATTTCCAAAAAGTTTTAACTGAAGTATGGGAATACACCTTGGCGGAACTTAGCCATCAAATGGATGGCGGAGCCTCTAACGACGACCTACCAGCGATGTTCCACGAGCGTTTGCATTCCGCTCTGGAACTTATGGTGGATTTCTTCCATGCAGAAGGTCAAGGGTTAAGTACCGAAATACTTCATTCGGCTACATTCTGTCAAATCGAACAAAGACTTCAATATCACAGGACTGACACTGAGAAATTAATGGAAATATTTTATAATCAAAGATTACAGGAACAATATAACACTACATCGAGTCCTTATGGCAATTTGGCTGTTAGGGCGTATTTTAATCATGATTCTTTATGTGTTGAGGTAAGAGTTGATTGTCTACAAAAAATATGTAATATGTTCATAAGAACATATTTCTTTCAGATTCTTCATGCTCGTGACATTATCCCTCTAGACCCGAATGGTTTCAGTGATCCTTTTGTAATACTAGAACTACTTCCCAAAAGAATATTCGCTCATTGTAACGAACAACAGACCAATGTACACAAAAAAACACTACACCCAATTTTTGATGAATGTTTCGAGTTTAGTGTTACTCTGGAACAATGCAAGTAAGTCAAGTTATTTTTATTTTCAATTAGTTTTGGTACCGAACAAATTTTTTCCAGATCTCCTGGAGCTATGGTAGCATTTACAGTGATGGACCATGATGTATTAACAGCTAACGATTTTGCCGGCGAAGCTTTTCTAGCTTTGGGCGCCATATCAGGTGTGGCGGAAAATTCATCCGCTGATAATTTCCACGGACTGAAACCTATGGATTTGGTTCTAATGCAGCAACATAATAAAAGTAAGTTAATAAACATGTAATAAGCAATAATGGTTTTTTTTTTTGGTAACTTATAGATCATCCCATTCTTCAAATACTGGAATCCAGAGCAAACGACAGATTGGCAGTGGAATTTGTCCGGAAACAAAAATTAAGAATAGCTGGAAAATAGGTTTAAGGATGGTGTACTTCATAATTATTAATGTTTGAAAATTAGTAGTTTTTCAAAACTGTTTGAGAAGCTACCAAATAATAAGTGTAAGTATATTTCAACAAAACAATTCATATACAGGGTGTCCCACAAGGTTTTGCCCAAGTGATCGCATCATGGAATGTTACACTTTGTAATTTTTAATCATTTTCGTCAACTGAACTGAAACGAAAGTTGTGGAATTGGATGACACATGCACAAAGGTTTACCCAGATCCTCAAAATCCCAATTACATTAGATGGCACGTTTCGAAGTTATCACCTGGTTAAATCGTCATGGGACACTCTGTATATTTGATTTTATGTTGAAAAAAACCATATATGTGTGCTATCTAGTTTTTGTACTCCCTTCCATACTACTTAATGTGAATGTTTAATCTATAATTATATTTTTTCTACTAAGAGTATGTCACATTTGACAAAAAAAAAACAATTTTCGACTTCTCTAACGCACTGACTAAGAAAAAATTGTTCTCTATGTAAATAGGTTTTTGTGTCTTTTCTTACTGGAAAAATCTTAGTTCATCTTAGAATTTAGGGCTTGATGGTGTATCTCATAATCTCATCCAATTTGCTGGAACAAGATTTGCATCCTTTATCTATTTTAATGTAATAGATAAATGTGCAAATGCAAATGTTCTCTATGTTGTAGTAAATTTACATTGTTTGGTATAATCTTTAAAAACATATTTCTGTTATTCCATATAGAAAATGTTGTTATGATTATTGAATTTAATTATTGTTAAAGAAATATAGCTGATTTTAGTTTATATTTGCTTACTTTGATTGGAAATTTCAAATTCAGTGGTATAAACTAAGCTGAAACTGTATACCTTTGTTGTTATACCCTATAGAAAAATTATATTACCTATGCACTTGTGGACAAAATTATCGATATCTATAGATTTCAAATGGCTATCAATCTAACCTGAACAGTTTCAATTCGAAAAAAATTAGGCCTAAATATGATGTTCCATCTGCACCACATACTCAGATTACTAGTGAATAAAGTGACTTGATTCATAGATAATTTTGTTCACAATCATATTATTAAAAAAATCATGCTGACAATCCTTAAAATATTATCAACTGTTAACTTTATCATATCGGGCTTTATATTATATTGAAGCACACATTTTATATAAAATCCATCTTTGAAAAAAACCCCAAAAAAAATTACTTATGCAGAAATTTTGTACATGACACGCACAAACTCAACACAAATATTAACTTACCATTATTGAAATCAAAATTCAGCAACACATAAGGCCATTGATAAATGCATATCTCAAAAAAAAAAACTGGTTTACATACATACAGGGTGTTACTTTTACAATCAAATCTGAGCTTTTTTCAAATATTTATATATCTACAGCTTCTCTATTTGAAACATATACCTGCTTATCTTTAGCTTTCTATTGAAAATGCAGATTTATATGAAACCAAGTGTCAAACAGAGAAGATAAAATAGTTTTGAGATCTGAAATTATTGAACCAAGTCAGAATTTAAATAAATTTATCAAAAATGTACGTCCAAATTTTCAAAATTATTTTATGTTCTCTGTATATAAATAAGAATATTATATAGCTTGTTACCTACAACATAATACATATTTATAATATGGCAAAGATATATTACACATATAAGAGTTAATTTTATATACTTAAGAAAGTAGCTTACCCAATCCAATATTTTTAAAAAATTTTAAGGGTTAATCTATTCGGTTTTAGATTCGCAAATCAATCAGTAACAAATATGGCTGAATAATTTGTGATTCTTTTAAATGAATATTTAAATTTTGGTTGTGAAAAAATAAATAAAAATAAACTTACTTAAATGTTTTTCGTTTAAATTCTCAGTTATTCAATCAATGTCAATTCAAAATAGAAGTATTGTATGTGTAAACTGATTATATTTTAATTGTACCTAAATGTGATATAAATACCTACCTATTTCATCTTTGTCTAAAATAAACTCAAAAAAAGTTAATTTATTTGTAGTTTTATTTAACAATATTAATATACAAACTACTATATGACAAATTACTATCAATCTTCATACCCATAATAATACCCATCCTGGAAAGCTCTGTGCATATCCAAACTATTCCTCCTCAGCCTCCTACCCAAAGGTTCCAAATCATTATAGCACTTAGAAAACACCCGTTCAATAGCTTCCATTGCTTGCTCTCTAGTCACATCCCTGACAGCTAGCATAGAACTTAGGGCTTTGTTTCTCACACAATATTGGTGTGTGTCCCGGAACTTGAAAATCGACGTATCTCCATTCAGCCAGGCAGATACAAAACTGCAATGGACCAAGTTTGCCGCTCTGATTTCCGTGCAAGCTAAATGATCCAGGTTTTTGAAGTCCAAGTTGTTTCTGCAGTAGTCGAACATGTGGATGAGTTCGTGGGTCAAGACGCCTTGGATTGCGCTTTCTTTGAAGGTATTGTTATGACAAATAACAACCTTGAATAAAAGTGAATTTGGGTATTGAAAAATGATGTGGCAAAAGATTTTTTTACAAGGTGCGCAATTTACTGGTTTTCTAGTAATTTCTACAGACATTTTAGTTTTGAAAGACAAATTTTTTCCACATGGTAATGGAAAAGTTTAAGGTATAGCACAGGGTTCAATAGATATATGTTTTGTAATTATTTGGTGAAATATGAAATATGATTTTAGTAATAGCATAGGTAAAGGTAAATTCAAAAATTGTACTTCAAAAGTGTTCTTATCCTAGGGGAAAATTCCAGAGGATCTATGGTGTAAACCGAGGGGTGTCTCACGGTCGGAAATACGTGAACAAATCTCAAAATAATTTCCGGAAATGTTGAGAAATTACACCAGGAATTTCCTATAAATTGTCACAAATTATGTTAATTCTCAGAAATTATAGGAAATGTTTGGAAATTTTGGAAAATGTCAGGAACTGTTGGGAAATTATTCGAAATATTAGGAAATTTTTCGAAATTATAGAAAATTTACTGAAATTATTATAGGAAATTAGGAAATTTTCACCAGCGGAAATCTTTGAGAATTTTTGTGTTTCGAATACTGTTCAGTGTTTTGTGAATAAAAATACCTAACTGCTAACAAAATAAAGGTAAGTAAGTAGGTAGGTACAGTCGGAATCATTGCAATTGGCACAAACTCTTTAAAATCCCCCGTATTAAGTCAAAAATTCTAACCAATAAATCTATTTAGTGCAGCATTTTGCTATTGCTGTGTCAGATTTGACACATTACGAGGGATATTTACTAGTGTGTGCCAATTGCAATGATTTCCACTGTACCTATGTATAAACACATCTCATAAACTATAGAAGTCGAGCTTCATGTTGTTATTTTCTACTGGAAAAAATATAAAATTTTGGGAAAATGAGCTTCTAACCTTCCTCATTAAATGCAGAAAGTTTCAAATTTTTTCCTGTCTGTATTAGTTTACCAGAAAAACTGAAATGTGTGAGACTGTATTCTCAATTAATTCAGTTATTGTTAGTTGATTTTCAATATTTTGCATGTTGTTACTTTCCACTGGAAAAATTTGTAATTTTGGGAAAATGAGCTAACTCTCCTCTTCACATGCAAAAAGTTCCAAAATTTTGTGACTATTAGTTTTCCCAAGTAATTCAGTTATTTTAAGTTAATTTTCAAGATTTCTCATGTTGTTATTTTCCACTGGAAAAATTTATAAATTTTGGAAAAATGAGCTCCCAACCTTCCTCTTTACATGTAAAAAGTTTCAAATTTTTCCCTTTATCAGTCTTCCGGGAAAACTTTGATATGTGTCACACTGTATTTTTAATTAATTCAATTTTTTTAAGCTGATTTCCAAGATTCGTCATGTTGTTATTTTCCACTGGAAATATTTGAAATTTTGGGAAAATGAACCTCTAACCTTCCTCTTCACATGCAAAGAGTTTCAAATTTTTCCCTTCACTAGTTTTCTAGGAAAACTTTGAATTGTATGAGACTGTCTTTCAATAACTTAAATTCAGTTTTTGAAGGCTGATTTCCAACATTCGTCATGTTGTTATTTTCCACTGGAAAAATTTGATATTTTAGGAAAATGATGAGGAAAATGAGCTCCTAAGCTTCCTCCTCGGCTTCCTCTTCACATGTAAAAAGTTTCAAAATTTTACCTTCATTGGTTTTCCAAGAAATTTTTGAAATGCGTGAGACTGTATTTTCAAATAATTCAGTTTTTGTAGGCTGATTTCCAAGATTCTTCATGTTGTTATTTTCCACTGGTAAAATTTAAAATTATGGGAAAATGAGCTCCTAACCTTCCTCTTTACATGCAAAAAGTTTCAACATTTTTCCATAATTCGTTTTCAAGGAAATCTTTGAAATGTGTGAAATTGTATTTTCAATTAATTTACTTTTTCTAAGTTGATTTCCAAGATTTTTCATGTTGTTATTTTCCCCTGGAAAAATTTGAAATTTTGGGAAAATTACCTACCTCCTAACCTTCCTCTTCACATGCAAAAAATTTCAATCATTGCCTCAATTAGTTTTTCAGGAAAACTTTGAATTGTGTGGGACTATATTTTCAAAGAGACAAACCACCTAGGGATTCTTTGGGAAATATGTGAGGAATTGAGGTATAGGGAATTTGAAGAAATTTATGGGGAATTTGGAGAAATTTTCAGTGAATTTGGAGGAATTTGTGAGGAATTTGTGAGGAGTTTATGAGGAATTTAAAGGAAATTGTAGGGTCATGACGTCACTTCACATTCTTATAATAAGAAACACTAATAATTGGAAATTTTTAAAAAAATCTAGTCTTGTGTTGGACGTTGGACATTCATTTCCTCGTTCATTTCTAACAAAGAAATTCTCCCAAAATTTCACTTCATGATTTACAGGTTCAAATTTAAAAGAATAGTCAGTTTAATATTCAAGGAAAAACCTTTTGGAATTGGATCCACTTAGACTTGAATGCTACATTCAAGATGCTGTTCTTATTGGGGCCAAATTAGAATATCGCCTACTGAGAAAAAAATTATTGGTCATTAGAGAATGGAGATTACATAATTTCAGTAGATTATTTTAATATGGGAATGGGAAAACACCAAGGAAAACACGAGGGAAAACATAATAAAAGTGAATATTTATTAGTTAGTTCTGACATTGTTCCAGAAGATATGATGAACTTTTCCAGAAGAAGGACAAAATTTCCTTAAAAATGACCCTGAGTGCAAAGGAATTTCAAGCTACTTGAAGTTGATACAAGTTTCAAGTTTATATGTAGTATTCTCGGTAGTATTTGAATCTGAATATATTGTATCCTAGCATCATAATATATGGAAAAAAGGCTGAATATTGAAAAAATTATTTACTTATTTTCAAATTAGTGAAAAGGGAATTACCACTATTTGCACGGCTCTAACTTAAGGGATATTTAATCTAAGTGGAGCTTTGAATGTGACTCTTGTAGAAATAGAAGTGACATTCAAAGCTCCACTTAGATTTAATATTCCTTAAGTTATAGTCGTGCAACTAGCCATTAGACACATTCGTATGGCCTACTTAGCCTATGCTAAGGTTCAGATTCAATTTATAGTCTATGGTCCTGTAAACCTGTTCAAATTTTAGGAAAAGGTCCATTCTCGGGTTCATTTATAATAAAAAGAAATAATATACCCTCAATATTGTGAAACAATATACATACTTAAGTTGTTTGAAATATCGAATGCAGGTTTAGGTTAGTTTAAACCTCAGTTTAAACCCCTGCATTCTGGATTACCGGAAACCAATCATTAGTTTTAGAGTTTTAGCTCTAAAGTCGCGTAACCTAACCTTGCATTTGATCTTACTTGATAAACTGGTTGTGTGTTTTAACACTAAGGGCCCGTTTATTCACCTTCTGATAAACCGTCAGGTAATCCAATCTAACGGATAAAACGCAATTTGTAATCCCATTGGTTGGCCAGTTATTCCGTGACCAAAAAGATTATAAAATGGGTTAATTTAACTTATAGATAGTTACCAGCAAGCTTGCCAGCAAGTTTATCTGAAGATGAATAAACCGAGCCTATGTAAAATAAAGATTTAAAAAAAATAAACTTATCATGAGCAATTATGAGGATTTTCAGGAAATTTATAAGAGGCATTTGTGGGGAATTTCAGAGGAGTTTGGAGGAGTTTGTGGAAATTTGCAGGGAACTTAGAGGAATTTGGAGAAATTTTGGGTTTTGTGTAGAAAATGGGGAATTGTTTGCACAAATTCTAGGGAGGTGGTTTACCCCTTGATAGAAGTAGGTATCACAATACATGTATATCAGGATTTTTACCCTTGAATTTGAATTTGACACGCAAAACTGAAAATATATGTGCTTTTTGAGCCAAATCAAGCCATAATAAGGGTTGATTGGTTGCTTTCATGTTTCATGTCAAAAAATAATTTCAAGAACTTTTCAATAAAGCATGCTTTTACTTTTGATTGTTTCGAGTACTTATATATCAATCAACACATTAGGTGAGAAGCTGGGATATGATGAAAAGATAGAAGATGTGGTAACTACAGTCGACGAGGCGCTGAATACCGAGATAGACCTTAATGAAGACAAATATGTTGCAGTAGAAGAAGTGAAAGATCTGAACATAAGAAATTGCCTAAAGTTTCCTCGAAAGTTTCTCTTCATTTTTGAAAGTAAGAACGTCCACACTTTGCTGGTTATTCGAGGAAAAAAGGTAGGATCTCAACTGATCGTTTGATGAAGGTACATGTTGAAAAAAAATCCACAATAACCATTAACACTCCTACTTCCATCTCCAGTGAAAAATGACTAAGGAAGCAAGAAGCAAATAAAAAGAGAATGTATAAAACTAATACGATTTTTGAAGGAAATACAGATTCAAGTGTACAGCACACTTTGGAAAGCGAATATGAAAACTCTTGTCAAGACGAAACCCCAAGAAAAGCCCAAAAGGAAATCGGAGAAATTGCCATTATGTATTTGAAAAGTATTATGTTTGCTCGAGTGTTTGCTCTCATGAGGGTAAATGGTATATAGGTCGTGTAACAGACATTGATAGGGATTATTACCATGAAGTTCCTTAAAGAGCACACTGACGAAATAATTTCTGTTCTCCTGTTTCAGAAACGCCAGTGGAGCACACTGGCCACATTTAAATGTATGTGTCGTATGTCATATGGTAAGGAAACAAATTTCCAGTTTCTTGCAACAAGTTTCAAGAAACTTATTTCTCCAGTCTGTCACCTGCTTTAGACAACTTTATATCTCCTCAAGGTTCCTAAAGTTAATAGGTTGTCTGATAAGGGGTAATTTGATGACTTCATCTGGGATGCCTTAAAGAGATTTGCATTATGTTGGGGCGCCCCAGATGACGTCCTAGAAATTTTCAGGCAGCCTATCTCTCTCAAACAACCTTGCTTGATATGGCCTAAGAAATCGCACCATCAGAAAGTAAGCAAAAAATATATAATAAATTTGATTTCAAATTCATAAATGCTAAGGCGAGTATCGTTACAAACACTCAAATACTTATGTTTTTTCCTGTGTTTGAATTTTAAGTTGTTTTTTGGAAATATAATGTATTTTCTACCTTTATAAACAACATCTTGCTTGCTTCACCCATACCCTCAAATTCAGGTTCGTACAATATTAATAAAAACTAAATTTTTGCTATACCTAAAATATTGAATTATGGTCAAGGGGTTATAAAAAATATATAATTTTCAACTGTTTTAACCAAAGGCTTCCACGGTCACTCCAAACTTTGCAAAATCATTTATTGGGGTGTCAAATATAGAATCGAGTAGGTATAGAATTCGAATTCCATCATGTACAATTTGATTAGAGAAAATACCATTTCTAGTCCATTTGATGCCCTCTAGATTGACCATTGAAGAGTAAAACAGGTGAAGGTCTACTTTCAAAGAGTGACAAACTGGAGCCACCATCTAACATTTGTCACCACCATGTACAAATTTTAGAAATTATAGGAAATACTTGAAAAAATTCTGAATATTCAGGAAATTTCGGAAATTATGGCAATATCAGAAAAACATTTCCAAAAAGGAAATAGGTATTCAAAATTTAAGAGTGTGAGACACCCCTCGTTGTAAACATTCAGTAATTATTATCAGGAATTACAGGAATTAGAGAAATAAGTAGAAGTTACAGGAATTAGTTGCAGAATTATTTGTGAAAATGCACATACTTAGACTGGTACCACTGTTGCTACTAAATTGGATCATTTCTACTACTGAAAAATACTCAAAGCAATCAGAACGACTCCAAACCTTTAGGATTTATTAATTATGGTCGATCTGTTGAATAAAACAAAGTGGAAACAAATCTGAGGCTCATAAATAAAATTATGATTTTTTTTCAAGTCTGTGCTTAAACAAATTCGATAATTTCTGTTAAATCAACTTTTAAAGCTTTTGAAAAATACTCAAAGCAATCAGAGCGACTCCAAACTTCTAGGATTTATTACCAAGGGCCTTTATATCAAATAAAACTATCTAATCTATAGAATGAGGAAAATATTGTTCTGGGGCTTACCCATTATGCCAACCAAAAGCCAAAAGTTACTGATAGTTTTTCTAACACTTCTAGAACAAAATTTGTTTCTAGCTTATGCACAAAAGTAATTATTTCTGCACTTGTGAGAATACTAACTATGCACTACAATTACCTGATTCAGAATAGGGTCAAATCCTCCACTAACATTTGGGGCACATTTTTCACAGCTGATATGCCTTCTTATGTCAATGGCACACCCTGAAGACTTGAGAGCTCCTAGCATAAGCCGTACAAGGGGGCTTTCTTTGATACACCTATAAACTCCTCTCTCACAATCCATTTTTCTTAATTCTTCTCTACCTTTTGTCATGGTTAAGACATCGGTAAGTGATCTGGACGCACCTCGGCGACGTTCCGGGTACAAATCGTAGCCCCATTGGCTTTCGTCCGTTTTACCGGAGGTGTTTTCTGATGGTTTGGGTGGTTCACTGGGTTGCGAAGGCTTTGATTCGGTTTTTGGTGGGTTTTTAGGACGAAGCGCTTCGGGTATGTCTATAAAAGTCATTATATTTTATCTTTTGCACTTTCTACTCGGTTTTTTAAAAGAGATTTTTGCTGTTTTCTTTGGTGATTCGAATTCTTTGGTTATGTACCTGAAAAATGGGGTTATGTAATAGATGTCAAAAAATATTTTCTTGAAACTTTGTGCGCTCGGAGCAGGTTTCATCTTTTTTCCTCTTGATGAAAAAAACAGAGATAAAAAACAATGTAGCTTTCAGCTGGGCGAGTAATCACTAATGTCACATGTCACTGAGAAACGTAAACAATCCACATTATTTTATTTATTTTGGTTTTCGCAAATTAAAAACTCAATAAACTAATTATTAATTAGCAAAAATGTCCGAAAGAAAAGTTTTAAACAAATACTATCCGCCGGATTTCGATCCGTCGAAAATCCCGCGGATGAAATTACCAAAAAACCGTCAATACACTGTTCGTCTAATGGCCCCCTTCAACATGAGATGCGAAACTTGCGGAGAATACATTTACAAAGGCAAGAAATTCAACGCCCGTAAAGAAGACGTTGAGCACGAAGATTATCTGGGTATTCGCATCTATAGATTTTACATCAAGTGCACGAGATGTTTGCAAGAAATATCATTCAAAACTGACCCGAGAAATACGGACTATGAGATCGAGGCTGGTGCTACCAGGAACTTCATGGCTCTTAAATTGGCAGAGGAGCAAGCACAGAGGGAAGAAGAGGAAGCCAAAGAAGAAGAAGCCAATAATCCAATGAAGCTTTTGGAAAACAGGACCAAACAATCAAAAAATGAAATTGAACTTTTGGAATCCTTAGAAGAATTAAAAGATTTAAATAAGAGGCAACAAGTGATTGATTATGATACGATGTTGTCTGGATATGATCCACGTTTATCTCAGCAAGAAAGAGAGGAGAGGTTGAAGCAACTAGATGAAGATTATATTAAGACAGTTAAGTTCAGCAATCCAAATAAAAGAAAACTAGTAGTGGAAGAAGAGATTATTGAAGAAGAAACTTCTAAAGTCATAAGAAGTGACAAACCAACAACATCAACTGCAACTTCAAGTAGTTGGTCACTAAACACAACTAAATCAAAAGCTGCTTTGGTCAAAAAACCATTAGTGGGCCTAGTTAAAGTCAAAAATAGCGAAGATAAGAAAACCAATTTTGAAGAACCTAAGGCAACATTAACCAGTAATACTGTAAGTAGTAATAATGGTTTATCATTGCTAGGCGCTTATTCAGATAGCGATTCTAGCGGGGATAATAACTAAATAATGAAGTTGTTCAGTTTTATAATTATTTAAGTAACGACATATCAAGTACCCACATTTGGATACAATAAAATAAAACGAGAAAAAATTATAAACATGTTTATTTTATTATTGTTCAGTAACTCTATATTAGAAATTTATGTAATAATAGCAGTCCTATATAATAAAATACCTATTCAGTCAAAATATTGAAGTTAGTAAAGAAAAATTAGACTTGTTAACTAGAAAGGAAAACTATTACTACCATTATCACCACAGGCACCCATCTAGTCTATTTTATTAGGGCTCTAAAAAAGAAAAATAATTAATAAGTAGAGGTAATAAGGTGTAAGAAAGAAAGTAAATATTTGAAATCGTTAGAAGCTATATCGAGGGGGTAACAACTGGACCAAAATTTGTACATGTATTGTGTATTACATAAGTAATTCCGGTAATTCTTATGTAATGCCACTAATTACATCATAATGCCATGTAATTTTATGTAATGCCATTATGGTTATGTATACCTAGACACCGGGTGTTTTTTTATGTATTGACATCCCACCTACAGCCTTTACCTTTACAGGTTGATGAAAGGTGTAAATACAAAAGTTGTACAGTACCTATTGGATGAATTTTTAGAATCCATGGTAAGAAACAAAAATGGAATGTCAGAAATGTGAAATATTTCATGTTTTCAGCTTTTTTCAAATGGGATGCTCTATATGAAGAGCACATTTTCCCGTTTCCAAAACTATATAGTTTGTCTATATTTGGTTGAGCCGTCTCCAACATATTTGGTTCTAAAAATTGTAAAAATACTATCAGAGAAACCAAGAACCTCAAATTTTACCTGTAGCTTTCACCTGTACAGGTAAAATGGTTCACAAAATCAGTAGTAGGATAGTATTTTTTCCTACGAGCGTGCGCAAAGTAGTACTTTTTCGCACGCAATTCCGGGCTCAAAGTTACACTTTTCCACACTCAGTGCAGATACAGGCCTTATCCGCACTGAGTGCCGAATATAAAAATAATTGTCAAGCAACAATAAGTGCACCTGTCGACTTTGACACATGATGACAAATTTTTCCTCTGTTTCTATATCAGCCAACATCAATACAAAAACCAAATATAAATTAACCTTGACACATTGTCAGATTTGTTCTCTATTTATATGCAAGAATCTACAAACTTTATCATCAAATTTAAACACTTTAAGATGAACAGCTCTGACGAGGATTTTCTGTTATTTTTTTTTTGTTAGGTAATTTTTTGATAAATGTATAGGTTCGCTGCAAGTTAATTAAAAATAATTGAACAAATTATCGGTTTTTTTTAAAAAAAAATTTGTTACCTACCTGATATGAAGCACATAGGAAAAATGTTGTTCCTAACACGTGCGCAAAGTGTCTTTTCCGCACGCAAACACAGTTATACAAACGACGCGAAGCGGAGTTCGGATACGTCGATCGATTTTCCGCACTGATATGCGTGCGGAAAATGAGTTTTCCTGCACGGTGCGGTAAAACTTTTACCGCATGCATATCAGTGCGGAAAAAGTTTTTCCGCACGGCTCTCAGTGCGGAAAAAATTTTACTGCACGGTTGTCAAAAAAAAAAGAAAAATTCCACATTTTTACGCCTGTAGGGAAAATATTGTACCTAACACTTGCGGAAAAATTCATTTTCCGCACTTGTTAGGTAAATACTCGGGTAAATAGCTATTACAATTTTTGGAGCCGAATATATGAGAGATTCCTCAATCAAATATAGATCGGGGCATTGTGCTCTTCAAGAATATAGAATGATATATAGGGCATCCTATTTGAAAAAAGCTGGAAACATGCAAAATTTCACATTTCTGATATTCAAATTTTGTTTCTGACCATGGTTTCTAAAAATTCAGCCAAAACTGTACAACTGTTTGTTGTTTGTTTGTTTAACACCTTTCTTCTACCTGTAAAGGTAAAGGCTGTAGGTGGGATGTCAATACATAAAAAAACACCCTATACAAATAAGTGGATTAGTGCGGAACTTATGGGTGGACCTCTGCGGGACGAGCGCAGCGAGTTCCGCAGCCATCTACTCACCAATATACTGTTGAACTGTTCAAGTAAGACATCTATCTGAAATGTGTAGTTTTTAAACTACCTAATGAGAATAACTCACATTTGAGTGAGTCAGGTTAGTATTGTAATTAAACAACATATTGATGAATAGATGGCTGCGGAACTCGTTACGCTCCTCCCGCAGAGGTCCACTCATAAGTTCCACAACAATTCACTCATTTGTACTTGAATAACTTGTCACATTATGTTACTAGTATGGTAAAGTAACATTACTAATTCCTGTTGAAAGGCCAATTGACAAAAAGTGAATATTCATAATCTTACAAATTTTGACTTTATATAATAAGTTATTGTTCAAGTACAGGGTGTTTTTTCATATATTAACACCCCACCTACAGCCTTCACCTTTACAAGTAGATGAAAGGTGTAAATACAAAAGTTGTACAGTATTGGCTTAATTCTCAACTAAATTTTTAGAATCCATGGTCAAAAAGAAAAATTGAATGTCAGAAATGTGAAATGTTGCATGCAGCTTTTTTCAAATGGGATGCCCTATATTTGGTTCTATATTCTGAATAGCACAATTTCTCGATTCCAAAACTATAGTATAGGTAGAATGATTCCCAAAATCCGTAGTAGGATAGTATTTTTACAATTTTTGGAGCCGAATATATAAGAGACTGTTCAATCAAATATAGACAAACTATATATTTTTGGAATCGGGCCATTGTGCTCTTCAAGAATATATAATGAAATATAGGGTATCCCATTTGAAAAAATCTGGAAGCATGCAAAATTTCACATTTCTAACATTCAAATTTTGTTTCTGACCATGGTTTCTAAAAATTCAGCCAAAACTGTGCAATTTTTGTATTTACTTACACCTTTCTTCTACCTGTAAAGGTGAAGGCTGTAGGTGGGGTTTCAATATATAAAAACACACCCTGTACAGGGTGGGCCAACTTGGACACTTTCTTATGGAAACACCCTTTATTTATAGAGATAGAAAAAAATGAACCCCCCACTCTGAGGCTCAAATTTCATGAAATTTTGATTGGTGCAAACCGCATTTTGATATCTTCAACCGTTTAGCCGCTAGAGGGCGATTCTCGATTTTGAGCAATATTTTAAAACCTTCATAACTTTTTTGTTTATGAAAATAATTGATTTCCGTAAAAACTTTCTGGAAGCACTTTTTTAAGCAGAATTCAGTGACGTTCTCAGTTTTTTTCTATTTGGCGCCGATTTTGAGGTATTAACCAAAGTCTGATTTTTTTCAATAGGACAACCTTTATATTATTAGCTCATTAAAAAGCTATGATTTTTCTGATTTTACTGATATAAAGTTCGATAGGTTTATCTCGAAGAGTTTTTGGGAAAAAAATTATTTTTGTTTTTGTCATAAGAAACAATATGTTAGAGAGAGATCTTTTTCATTATCCTTACAGATATAAAGTCCTTTTCTAACACATTGCTTCTTATGAGAAAAACCAAAATAATTTTTTTTTCTCGAAAACGGTTAGAGATAAACCTATCGAACTTAATATCAATAAAAACAGAAAAATCATAGCTTTTCAATGAGCTATCAATATAAAGGGTGTCCTATTGAAAAAAATCAGACTTTGGACAATATCTCAAAATCGGCGCCAAATAGAAAAAAACTGAGAATGTCACTGAATTCTGCTTAAAAAAGTGCGTTCAGAAAGTTTTTACGGAAATCAATTATTTTCATAAGTAAAAAAGTTATGAAGGTTTCACAATATTGCTCAAAATCGAGAATCGCCCTCTAGCGGCAAAACGGTTGAAGATATCAAAATGCGGTTTACACCAATCAAAAGTTCATGAAATTTGAGCCTCAGAGTGGGGGGTTCATTTTTTTCTATCTCTAAAAGTGAAGGGTGTTTCCATAAGAAAGTGTCCAAATTGGCCCACCCTGTACATGAAATAGTTTTACGTAATCGGACCAGAAAAACAAACCATTATGCATCGTTGAAAACATTCTATAATTGGTACATATTTAATATTTATTATTATTCTATAGGTAGGTATTTTTCTGAGGCACAGGTTATTCATCTTTGGATAAACTTCCTACTAACTGGCCGACCAATGGGATTACAGATCGCGTTTTTTACATTTTGGTAGAGTTTTACAATGGTTAATTTTTCCCTTGTCTCAAGAGTTGAAATGGTTTTAATCTAATGATTTTTATTGGTCCATGAAAAATGTAGGGTAGGCCTTATCTACAAATTGTACATCATTTGTCGTGAAACCATATGAAATTTCTAGATCATTATTGTCTAGCTTCAAACCAGTTGAATTTAGGTATAGCACATTATACATGAAATTTATCTAGAATTTTTCCGAGAATTTTGGCTAGAATCCAAAAATGATAATAATATATGTAAATTACCTACCTAATTTACTACTAGTTTTACTGTATTTTTTTAAAATTCGCCTTGTATAATATGTACTTAAAATTATTTTCATTTTGTAGTTACACAAAGTTACTCAAAATTATTTTTAATATCGGGGTTGGTAATATATGAATATGATCTTCCAGTGAATCATTGTATGTAGGTACATTGGAACCTTAAAAATCAACCGCTAGACTAACCATAATTCCATTGAATGCAACCGTAATTCCTCCATATTTGTTAATATTGCCTTGTAATGTTAGCGTAATCCTTGATAATAGTGAGTAATGACATCGTAATGCCTGTAATACCACGGCAGTGCCAGTAATGCGTTGTAATGCAATAAAATTTGTACTTATATTGCCACTAGTTGTTACCCCCTCGAGCTATATTTTGGTACTAGTATGAGCATGCAATTTAAATAATACTTAGATACTTACCTACCTAATTAATATTAATGAAATCAATTATAAAGACTAAAAACAAGCAGTACAAAAGCTCCAAGAAAACAGGGTTGGCAAACAATTTTCTCTACTTTGATTTTTGGGTGGATTTTTGATGGATATTTCCTTGGGTATTGCTTCGGGTATTGCCTCAGGTATTGCCATATAAATAATATATTCTAGAAGTTCATAAAAGTTCCGTATGGCTTGTAGAGTGTTTTAGAGCACTCCTGAGAATTTGGAAGTGTTCTGGTCTGTTCTAGGATGTTTCTGAAATTCTAATTTTATTTTAAGATGTGTAGTGTTTTACAATGTTTTTGAAAGTTACAATTTGTCTCAAACGAATGCAGGAAGATTAAAAATTGAATTGAAAGTCTTCTGAAGCTTATCAAAGTTCTAAATTTATTCCAAAGTGCGCTGAAGCGTCTCAACATGCTTTAAAATGGCACAAACGCATTCTGAAGCTTTTTAAAATGTGTTCTAAAGTTTTCAATTGGTTGCATGCTCTTGAAGCTCTAGAATGGCCTAGAAGTTATCAGAAATCTTTCAAATATTCTAAAACGCGTTTTGGTATTTCTAATTGCAATTCTAAATAAGTTCAGAAATGTTTAAGAGTGTTCTAATATGTTCATGAAAGTTTTAAGTTAATTCTTAAGCGTCATGTGACGATTTTTAAGATACATTAAAAGTTTCCAGTTCTAGATTGTTCTAAAAGTTCCATATGATTTATACAGTGTTCCATAAGCTTTGTGAAATGTTGCTGATACTTCAGAAGTGTTCAGGGCCGGTATTCTCGTTCCCGAAAACGCTCACCGCTTTTTAGTCGCTCGGCACTTTCAATGTAAATTTACATTAGAAGTGCCGAGCGACTAAAAAGCGGTGAGCGTTTTCGAGGACCAGAATTCCGGCCCTGGTCCTTTCAAGAATGTCTCTGAAATTCTTAATTGGTTCTAAAGTGTTCTGTTACGTTTACCAATATTCTTAAAGATTTCAATTTGCCTCAAACAAATGCAAGAGGATTGAAAATTGAATTGAAAGTCTTCTGAAAACTACCAAAGTTCTAAATTGCTCTAGAGCGTCTTAAAATGCTTAAACATGTTCTAATTTGTCGCTAATGCATTCTAAAGCTTTTCAAAATGCATTCCAAAGTTTTAATTGGTTCCTTAATGATTTTAAAGCTCTGGGATATTTTTAGAAGTTATCAGAAATCTTCCTAATGTTCTTAAGCGCTCTTAGTACCCGAGGGGTGTGTCACTCATGCAGTAGGTGTACAAATATCATACGTTCATGTATATGCAGTCCATACATTCTTCTGCAGTCCATACATTCCACAATACATTCTCATGCAGTCAATGGAATACATGAACTCATGCAGTCAGCAGTCATAATACAGTTGCTTGCAATTGTTATAAACTCTGTGCAGTCCGAGGTGCAGTCACATGCACTAGCGTACATTCCATATACACTCGTGAAAAATCGTAAGCAATCGCTGCAAGTGGAGCCTGCAATCTTATTAGAAATTGTTCAAAAGTCATAGCAGTCAACTGTCATCTTTGGATGCAATCAATGCAGTCAAATACAGTAGGTGTACAATATTTAGTGGGTGAAACACCCCTCGTTGGTACCTCTATAGTTATCTCATCTGTTCGAAAACGATAGGTTTTAATACATAAAAATAGGTATACATATATGAAAAACACAAATATCCATCAAAAATCCATGACCAAAAATCCAATTCTCTATCCACTATAATAAAATTATCCGGATTTTTGCCAACCCTGCAAGAAAAGCGCAACATTTAGACAAACATAATAATTGCAAGTTTGCAGAAAAAGAAAAATGTGGTGGTACCCCATTATTTTAGAATTGAGGAACAATTTTTGCCTACAATGTTATTTTTGCCTTTCACGTCACATTATACTTTCTGAAATGATGAGACCAAATTTTCAGTTTCAATTAAGTACATTAAATCATTTTAATTTAAGTATAAGCTTTTGAAAAATACTTAAGTAATCACAGCAACTTCAAACCTTCAGGATTTATTAATTAGGGTCTTTTCATTAAATAAAACAACCTGGAAGTTAATCTGAAGTTTAGAAATAGAATTATGAAATGTTTTCCAGCTTGATATTAAAAAAAAAATGGATAATTTCTAGTGATGTGACGAATAGTAGTTTGGCCGAATAACCGAATACCGGATATTCTGCTGAATTTAAACCGAATATTCGGCCGAATACCGAATAGTTATTAAAGCATGTCAGAGCTCAAATATTATAATGAAATAGCCTTGACTAATAAGGACTTTGATCACCCCAATGCAAAAACGAAATTGCATCTTTCATCATAACCCACCATTTATTGATTTTCAATATTGATTTTCTATTCCTTATTGTTCTGCTATACTAATAGTTTTTCATAATATTCTTTGTTAAGTCAAATTCCTTAACGCGAAGATGTTTATTCTTGAAACCGGGGAACAGGGTTTTCACGAGAAATCAGTGTTATGGAAATATGAAATGACAGAACCTCTGTTCTCATGAGAACACTGCTCCCCTGCTTTGGGTATAAGGGCCCAGAAGTTTGTATTTTCATTTTCTTTTTCAAATTAATATTAATTAAAAATACATATGTTGAAAAATTCAGTAAAATATCCAAACATGAAATATTCGGTAGTAAAAATCGAGTATTCGGCCGAATACCGAATAGCGAAAATAATGCCGAATAGGCCGAATACCGAATAATTATTCGGCTTCGGTCACATCTCTAATAATTTCCGTTAAGTATATCAACTTTGAGGGCTTCTGAAAAATTTGTCAAGTAATCACAGAAGTTGATAGGAGAAAAAACATCAAAAATTCCTATTAAATTAGGTACCCTTGAAAGCTTCTGAAAACTATTTCAAGCCATCATGCAGTTTTCTAACTTTCAGCATTTAATAATAATTATTGGAATCTTTTCCTAAAATAAAAGAAACCGAAATTAAAATCAATACTGACAAATAGAATTATGAATTTTTCCCTTATAACATCATCTCCAAAAGCTTCTGATACAAGCTGTGCTGATACTACAAACATCTCACATTTTATTTATTTTGATAAAATATATTACAGATACAAATTTGGTCATATCATTTAGGAAAGTATTGTAGCCAAACTATTAAAAAAAATTAATAAGAGGGTAGTTTTTGTCTGTATGTACAGGGTGTCAAATTCTCGGTTAAATTATGAAGTACCAGTACATAAAAAAGTTACATGGGGTGGTACTTTATAACTTGACACCCGGTACACTGAAATAATGGGGGGTCTTAAAACAAACTATTCTAAAGCATACAAAATCAGTACAAAAAATAAATAAACGTAAAAAAATTAGAAACAAAACAGGACATTTTCAATAACAAAAAAAAAAAACTAAACCACTTGTACCTCTGAAGCCTGAAACTCCTTACTGTCCCTGAACTTGAAAATTTTGTTTGGTCCAATTATTTTTACAGCTCTGAAAAATATTCAAAACAAGTTATACTTAAAAAAATTTATGTTATAATATGTTATACTCACAAATTGTATAAAATAGGAAAATACACAGCGACATAAGTCATAGGAATCGTAGGAAAAATTCCTATCCAAGCTTCATTAACTTTATTAACAATAGCCACAGTGTTAAGATATCCGCACCTTTCTGATGTCATTCTTTTATCTGTTGGCTGAGTTGAACCATGAAATTTCTAAAACTTAAATAATTGAAGCTATGTGCTAGTAAATATGCATATACTTACTTCTCCATCTTTTTCAGTAAAAGCTTCATTCAAAAAATTGGTAAAAGTCGGTCCGGGACAAAGAAGGGTCACATGAATATTGCTAGTCAGTTTTTCATTTCTTAGTGAATTGAAATAGCCCTAAATAAAATCAATTATTTTCCTCCTCATAAAACAAAAATTCTTACATGTATGGCATGTTTCGATCCAGTATAAGTTCCAGAAAAGGGCACTCCAATTACTCCGGCCAAGCTGGAGACTACAGCAACATGCCCCTGGCGTCTTTTATTGAAATGTTCCAGAGCAGTTCTGGTCAAATTTAAAACGGAAAAAACGTTTAAATCGAAAAGTTGTTTGTCAACAGCTAAATCTGTGCTATCCCATAAGGCTCTTTGAGATCTTCCTAAAATAATTTTGTTATAGGATGCAAGCCTAAAGGCATTTCAATAGAAAGTAAACTTTCATATATAGATAGTTTGCGTTTTCACCTGCATTATTAATTAAAATATCAACATGTCCAAAATGCCTCACAGCATGTTGAAAATGCATCTTATGGGATGAAAGGTCCAATACGTCCATTGGTATTACTAGGACATCTTTGTCTTCTAATAGACCTTTGGATACAGCTAAAAAGAACTTAAATGTTATAGTTTTTGTACAAATATTTCATAATGCTATTCCTACCTATACATTGTTGTTTCACTCTTTGCAGTTCCAAATTTCTTCTAGCTGTTAGCACCAGTTTGGCACCAACTTTGGCAAGAGCGTACGCTGTATGTTCGCCGATACCACTTGATGCACCAGTAATAAAAACCACTTTTCCTTTTAATCTACCTATATAATTTAAAAAAGAACATTCATGTTTAATTAAATAAAAACACATAGACTTATATGGGTTATTATGGCACTGTTATGTTAAAAATAAATACCGCTATCTGAAAATTGAGATGTATGTACACGAGTTCAGCATTTATTGACCTTATTAAGTGATTATTTAGAAGGTATTATCATGTATATATGTACTTAAACGATATTCCAATTATAGGTACTTAACAACTCGTTTGAGAACTTACGTGGTGACTTTCCAAATTTCTCCAAGAATCCTAGAAGAACATCACAATCGAAAATAGTGACTGAAAGGACATAAAACCCTCCGTAAACTATAACTGCGGCCCCTATTGTGCTAAGAAAACCATTCATTACTGTTGAGAAACTCATATTTTAGGCCTAATTGAAAAATCTATGGAAAAAAATCTTATTTTAAAGTTTAAAACAAATACATTTTATTTTTATCAGCAAAACGATGTGATGTTAAAAGGTCAAATACCGGAATTCAACGCATTTAAAACAAAGGATCTGCTAAAAATAGTCTCGTATGGTGTGAGATCAGAACGCCGACTAATGAAATTCAAAAATTCTTGTTTAAACAATAAAATAACGGATTGCGAATGTATTTATTTATAGCTCAGGTGAAAGGTATAGTTTATTGCAAATTAAGCAGGTATTTGCATAAAAAGTAATAGGTACGGCAACATTGGAATTGGATCACATCAGCTGAATCTAGGGATGGTTATTTTTGGGAAGACATCGATATCTTGATATCGATACCGCCTTACATCGCTTTAATCGATTCTAAAGAAGTTGCTGCAAGCAGAATTCGACTGGATTGCCTTCACATGCATGAATTCAGCCTTTCTTAGATTTTTTTTCTATCACATGCTTTTGAAATTTCTTTCTTTTTCTCAAACTCTTGAATTTTCATAATTTCTTTATTCCAGGCTCTTGATTTTTCCTTATGTTAGCAATTTTTAAAGAATACAGGCAACGACGCCACCATAGAGACCGTTTAGAGAAAACAATAATGTTGACTTACTTGCTGACCAAAATAAAAAAATTCAAGATTTACAGAACGTTGAAATCAATTAGTAACTGGAATGACACAGACTGTGTAGGTATCATATGCAGTCTCATTTGAAAGGTTTGGCGAAGTCATGGTATAATATTTTAGATACTTATGATCATACTGATCAATGGAAAACTATAATCACTATAATGCGTTTCTAGACCAACACGATTATCCAAAAACATTGAAAAAAAATGATTAATTAGTTGAAGACGCGTAAACAAACATGGACTGAATATTACTTTACTAAAATGGAGTTACTGTGTAGTGCGTGTGAGATTGAAGGAAAAAAGACTGTAGCTATGTTGATCGATGGCATTGAAGATAGTGCCATACAAAATGGTGCAAAAGCAGGCAGTTACAGCAAACCAGAAGATTTATTTAGAGAGTATCTGTCAGCTGTGGCTTCTACATCAGAACGCTCGCGACACTAGTATTTTAACAAATTTGACAAAAAGTTCAACAGTGATCGCCAACATCGAATGATTCTTACCCTCATAGAACCAGTCGGTGCCGGGAGCTCAGATCATGCCAAATTCAAATGCTATAATTGTGGGCATGTATATAGAGACTACCGTAAAGCCAAGATTGAATGCACTATATGTAAGAAGTTGGGCCATACTGCAACTAGTTGCTACAAAAACCGATCATCTACTTCAAAATCAGCTTTGACTCTCCAAACAGAAAACCAGAACTTTGAAAAATGCTATCAAGGTACTTGTAAAGTGAATGGAGTTTCCTGTGACGGACTTATTGATACAGGGTGTGCGGTCCTTACCATACGCTTAACCACTGCTGAAAAATGCAACATTTCATGGCAGCCCTGCAGCATAAGAATAAGTGGCTATGCCGGCGGTACTGCATATGCTTTGGGAACTGCACAAGTGAACATTGAAGTCGATCTAATAAATGTAACTGTTTCAGCTCTTATTGTTTCTGACAATATACAGGGTGTATCTGTCATCAAACTGTTTTAAACCATCTTGATGTAGTATTAAGTCGTGAAAAATGAAAAAGTGCTACTATTTAAGTCCCAGTTGTTGTCGTTACTTGAAGTAAATAGCCTTCCACTCAGTAAAATCAAGATGTTCGTCGATAAGCAGGTTACTATTCCTGCTAATTATATAGGTCATGTGACTTTTGATGTGGATGACCAGTATCAAGGGAACTCTTTGTGGATCTTCACCACATCATCGGCGGAATATTCGATTCCCAGCTGCGTGGTTTCAATAATAAGTAGAACGCTACCCATTTTCAACATGTCTGATTCTGACCTGATATTCAAGGACTCGCAAGTAATAGCCAGAAGCAAGGTATTCTTACCAAATGACGTTTTTGAGGAAAATGAGGTGAGAGTACTCCATATAAATGCCAATGATTATCGACCATTCACCTTAGAAGATATTATTGATTGTGACTTTTCTGTGACTGATACTGATTAAAATGTAGCTATTATATTAGTATTACTTATTAAATATTGACATTGTTTGGCTTTTGCTGAAAAATTAGAAGAATTGGGGTGTGTGAAAGGTATTAAGATGAGTATTCAGCCGAGCGACTCATAACCGTCTTTAGCGGGAGAGATTTGGTACGAGAAATTGTGCAAGATCTGCTGAAAATGGGTATAATACAAAGTCCGACTCTCCTTACGCGAATCCCATTTTATTAGTCAAGAAAAAGGATGGAACGAATAGAATGTGCGTTGATTATAGAGCTTTAAATCAGAAAACGCTAAAAGATTGCTATCCTCTCCCTCGAACTGATAATCATCTTGAACGATTGAAGAATTGCGAATATTTTACATCTTTAGACTTGGCCAGTGGGTATCGCTACATACTGATAGCAAAAGATTCCATGGCGAAAACTGCTTTTATAATCCCAGATAGGCACTACGAGTACTCGAGGATGCCATTCGGATTAGCAAATGCCCCAGCAGTTTTTCAAAGAACAGTAAACCAAATTTCAGGATATTCAGGATTTACTATCACTCTTGCATACTTGGATGACATTTTGGATTCCTTCTACTGACTTTTCATCAGGTTTAAAGTCCCTTGAAACCATTTTGCAACTATTTCAACATGTGGGCATAACCCTACGGTTATCGAAGTGCCATTTTTCAGACAGACTATTATTGAGTACTTGGGCCATAAAATAATCAAAGAAGGCGTGCGCCCAGCTCCTGCAAGAATATCAGCAGTAAAGGACTTTCCAATTCCAAAGAATGTACATGAAACCCGGCAATTTTTGGTTCTGGCAAGTTACTTTCGAAAATACGTTAAAGACTTTGCAATTGTTGCAAGACCAAAGAAAGATGTCGTGTTTAATTGGAATGAAGAACAGCAACAAGCCTTCACTTGCCTGGAAGAAATTCTTAGTACCCGACTGATACTTGCGATTTATTACCCAAAATACGACACTGAAATGCATACTGACGCATCTAGGCATCGAGTGGCCGGAATCTTACTACAAAAACAACCAGATTCCAAGTTGAAACCTGTCCTTTATTTCGGTAGACAAACCAGCAAGGAGGAACAGCGTTACCACTCGTACGAGTTGGAAACAATAGCTGTAGGTATAGCTGAGCCACCGAACAGAGATAGTAATAAAACTGAGCATTCAACCTCTGAGGAGCCTGACAGGCAATAGACGAGAGGATTTATACCCAATTTATATCTTCTTATAATAAATAAAATTTATTAAATGCATGAATTCATATTTTATGAGGCAATATGCATAAAGGGTTTCATTCACAACATTCACATTCCAATTACTAAATTATTTTGGGTTAAAACAAATAAATGAAAGACAAACAACATCAGTTTCAAATGCGCTCCACTATGAAAATATTTGCTTTTAAGAGGGTGTCGGGACTATTTATGGGGGTAGTTAACCAGGTAATCGTTTTATTACTATCTCTGTTCGGTGGCCCGACTATAGTGAATTCTATGCAAAGATTTCGTTTTTTGAAGATGTATCTGACTGCAACGCATTTCGGCTAACTATGTCTACTATGACAAAGAGGAATATTATACCGAGAATTGGAGGATGGTAGATGGTCACACAAGAATTCAACTTTACCATAGAGTATCGCCCAGGAACTCGCCATGGCGCACGTAGATGCCTTCAGCAGAAACTCCATAGATGATTTCAGCAATGGTTATGAAGATGTGCAAATTTTAACGTTCAATACATCTGAAACTGATTGGGTTTTGACAGCACAGCTCCAGGACGAACGTTGTCAGCATTTGAAGGATGTAGTTTCAAGAGCACCAGCTGATAAGGAAGAATGTGGTACCTATCCATGGGGAGTACGAAATTAAGCATGGGAGGATATATCGAAAAACAAGTGAAAGGTTGAAATGGGTAGAACCAAAGTCGGCTCGCCATGCGGTTACAAATTACTTCCATGATCAAGCAGAAGATATGGCGGTTGACAAAACGATATCACAGATTCAAAAAAGTTATTGGTTTCCGCGTTCGCGAAAATACGTAACCAGCTATATATTGTAGTGACACGGAAATAAACCACCAAGAAAACAATTAAAGGTTCTGATTATTCTAAACAACTAAAGACCTAGGATCCAACTACCGAAAATTAATCAAGAATAACAAGGACTTACCAAACAACCATCCCAGGAGAGATCATCACTTAGACAGCACAACCAGAAACTTCAATTAAAAATTATCTGAACATCGATATCCAGAAATTATTGAAAGCCGATATTGACTAATGCATTGGAATGTGACTAAAGCAAAAGTTCATGGACCTTTTTTAGGTGCTTTCAACAATTAACATTCCAAAGGAGCCGAAAAATTTCTAAAAGGATCAATAAATCATGCACGAGCCTATATGATGATACCCACTTGACAAACCACTTAGCGACGCCCTTGATAATTAATTAAAAGGGGACCAAATACACTAATTGATCGGATGATTCAACCACGAAAAATCGAGGTCAGAAACAATAAAAAAATTCAAGACAATGGAGGGACCAATGATATAAAAAGACAACTTTGGCAGGAGAAAATCAGTGTTCGAGAAAACCAGTGTTCAAGAAAGAGCCAGTAAACCGACAGAACTACGGCGTGAAGAACCAGTATCGGTTGAGTAATCAAGAAACAAGAAGTAATCGAGAATCGAGAGACCTCTGTCCAGAAAGTCAGAACTACGGCGTGAAAGAGTTGTCGAATTAACCGAGAGAAGAAGCACGTGTCATCATTTGAACTCGTAAATAAGAACCCGGAAAAGATCAATTACAAGGTTAAGCACCTAATTAAATTGGACCCAAAATGACAAAAATTTCGAACAGATTGCATCATCCTCTAAATGATGAAATTAAGTTTTGGAATAATATCTAGGTCGACCAATAGAATTGAAATATAGATGGTCAAACGACCGCCTATTGTCGATTTTGGTAGGTAATTGATTATATTTTGGGAGGAATTGAAAATACAAATACAGGGGTTTTAGAAGAATCAGATCAGTTGTTAGTTCAGTCCAGTTCAGTTTTAAGTCTACAGTACCTAATGAGTCAGTGCAGATAAAATTCGCGAAGAGTTTATTTTCTTGTTTTTGCCTCGGGAAAACGCGTTAAACCTTTGAAAAGTAACGAAAATTTATGAAATAAAGTCCATTTAAATTCGTTCAACATTATGTGCGAGCTCTAGAGATTTTTGAAGTAAATTAATTAATTTTACGAGTGAAAAGTTAAATGTAAGTACTCTAGTGACTATTATTGTTTTGTTTTTTTTTACTTTATAAATGATTCGGAATGATAAGAAGTGAATTGACATTGAAACTTTAATGCATAAAAACTTGAGTGATTTGACTATAAAAACTTTATTTATAGTCGCTCCTTGAGGTTTCCTCAGACCTTAAGGAGGCCTTGAACGTTTAGAATTGACATGACAGACTTATCAAGTAGTAGCAAGTGTCCATTTCTAAACGCATGAATTTCAAGGAAGACCCAAGGAACGACTATAAATTTGGCCCTAAAAGTCGCTCCGGGCATATATTTTTCTTTTTTCTTCAATATCGATAATTTCCGATATCGAGAAGTAACTCAACATCTGTTAACATTCTTACTTCTTTTCTTAGGTTATGTTATCCGATTTATTTACATTTTGCAAAACATGTTTGTATAGTACATTAGTATAGTATAAAAATCCCTTTAAAATGGAAGTACCCTTGACCAAAATTGTCTCTCAAATATTCAGCAATTGGACAGCCTTAAGATTGGCCGTCGAACACTCAATGGGGGGCCCTAACAGCAAACAAGTAAGTTATGCACCAAAAGTCTAATTTGTAAGTTGAAAACTGGTAATTTCCAGGCGGCTATAGATTTTATGAACTACATGGTTCAATATTGCCTTCACGAACCACACGTAGACGTTGACAAAATTCAGGAAGCATTAGAAGACATATTAGATGAAGAGTTCGAGACTATTTGCGAAGACGAATCTCCTAGACAAATAGCACAGCTTCTTTACAAATTTTTGTGTTTGCTATTAGAAGGTAACAATTCACAATAATATATAACTCATATTTAAATAACCATTTATAGACAAAACTGCAGAATGTGAAATTGAATTTCAAAAATTACCAAGTGGCGATTCCAATTGGTTAAATCAACAAAGCCAAGTAGTTTATAACAGAACACAAATCGATTCTTCAGATGATAGTGATAGTGACTCAGCAACCCCAATGGAAGATGATGGTTGGACAGAAGTAAAAAATAGGAAAAAATAATAATTATTGAAAATATTTAATTTTGTAAATATAAGACTTAATTAATATCAGCCCAAAGCTTCAGGATGTACTTTTATCTCAAACTGTTCGCTTTTTCTTTGTACAGACATTCTCAAAACTTTTGCGGTGCCATTTTTCAAAATATCATAAACATCTTGGGCACTTCTTATTTGTTTTCCATCTATTGCTGTTACTATATCACCAGGTTGCAGTCCTCCACTGAAAATATTTCCATTAAAAAATAAATAAATTTCAAAAAAATTCTTACATATAAGCAGGAGACTCTGGGACAACTTTCCATACCAAAACTCCACCACTAAAATTATGAGGCATCACGTTTCCATGTTTTTGTGCAAACTCGTGAGCTAATTGTGGAGTTAGTGTAAACATTGTAATACCCATATAAAGTCTTTTTGTTGAACCTGATTGCTTGTTAGGACCTTTAGCTTTACTATCTTTCAAAAATGCTTTAACATAATCAATAGGGATGGCAAACGAGATACCGGGAACTATTTTCATTGAATTCACTCCAATAGCTTCACCATCTAAATTCACTAATGGCCCGCCAGAATTGCCAAATGTTATGGCAGCATCTGTTTGAATATAAACCATGTCTCTGTCTCTTAGGCCTAATTCGTCAGCACCTCTTTGTGTAGAGCTTATAACACCTGAAAATATAATTTAATCGAGTGGATTATTTGATTAGTTATTACTTACCCGTTGTGACAGTGTTGCTTAAAGCCAAAGGACTACCAATAGCAACCACAAATTCTCCAGGCATTAAATCAGCAGAACTACCAAGCTTCATTATAGGCAAATTTGAAGCCGCTATTCTAACTAGTGCCAAATCGCTTCTGAAATCTACATTTTCCACTACCCCTATAAAAGTCCTACCATCCATAAGTTTTACCTATTTATTTGAATATGTAATTAATTAATTATGAGTTTTTTTTACACTTACTTCTACTCTAGCATTTGGTCTGTTTGTTACCACATGAGCATTTGTAACTATGAGACCCTCTGCTTCAATAATAAATCCTGATCCATTTGAAAGAGTAGTAGGTTTACCAGTGAAAAAATCTGTTCTCCTGTAATATTTAAAACATTATTCTTATCCAATGTGTTTGGAAATAGTCACCTGGTGTCTTTGATTTCAATATACACTACAGCCGGTGCAGATTTTTCAACTACTTCGGCTATAAAGTTAAACTGTTGCCTGCGTCCGGCCAAATTGTTGGTGTCCGATTTCGATGCTGCATTAACTTGAGGCACTAAACTAAATCGTCCCTTGACCACTTTATAAGTCAGATAACTAGAACATACTAGGACGAAGGCTTTGAAAATATTATTTTTATGCGTTGAGTGGTATTGGAGAGTTTGGGTCATAATTTTGGTTGGTTTTTGTGTAGGGCCACCATGTTTGGGTCTAGTTATTATACGGAGTGTATTCTTATTTAAAAGGCACTTTCGTAATAATGACATTGGATTGTTTTAAAGAAATAAATTATAATTTTAAATATTTGAATTTTTTAAAAATAATAAGGTTATGTTATGATGTTTACTTATTGTCAAGATTATTATTTCATGTGTTCGTTTTGAAGTACAGAACGCTCGAACCATCTTTTATCTTTTTTTCTTTTGATGAGAAAAACAAGGATAAAAAAAGAAAAGCAGATGCATTCACTGGACGTATTTGTGTAAGTGCAATCAGCTCAGCTGTCATTGAGTGTCACTGCCATTTTTTATTTAAATTTAAATTATTTATTTATCTCTTTCACCACCCACCTGTCACAGTAGTATTTGTTTAAACATTTAAAAATAAAGTGTTGAAAATAATCATACGATATCAGAAAAAACTTGAACTTTGAAATTTAATTATGTATTGTGAAGGTTTTTTATTTTTTATTCTCGTCAGTTGATTTTCGATTTGTCAAGGGACATTCCTATCCTATTTAATCGTGTTTTCTGTAGGATATTTTATTATTTTAAACAAATTCTATAGTTTTTATTGTTGTTATTTTAATTATCATGGCCACAGAACCGGCAGTGGCAGCTGTACCCCAAAACTTAGTTGACCAACTGAGGAGCAGCTTTTTGAAAGAAGTTGAAGCAAAGGGACCGAGCAGTAAGAATTCTTTTTATTATTATCAATATTCAACCACCTTAAGCTTAATTTCGCGCTTCAATAAGTAGCTCCTAGCTCAATTACTATTGGTTTATATTTTTCTTTTTTGTAGGTGTTCATCCAAAAGATCTCGAAAGAGTTAAATCTGATGACAAATACCTCAAAAGATTCATAGCACACAATGACAATGATATTGGAGCCACCCTTAAAATGATGTGGACATCATTGAATTGGAGGAAGGACTTCCAAACCAATGGTGAGATTTTTTAATTATTTTTTTTTTTTTTTTGATAATTAAAGTCGAAAATGAAATTTAATAAATTGGGTGCATTAAAACTATTTATATTTTTTTTTTATACAATCATTTCGCAATTTATTATACTTACATCATAATGATATCAGCAGATTGACCTTCGATTTAAACAATGCTTTAACTGTAATTACTTAAGTACAATAAATTTGATGATGCATTCAATAATTATTATTGGTAACACAAACCCTTGTTATTGCATTAAAAATTGTATAGATATGCCACTATGTTAAAATGATGAATAATCAAAGATGCAGTATTTTGGAACAGATAATTTTATAAGGTCCTTGTTAAAAAATGGTAGTGCTACCCCATCTAGAAATAGGATAGAAACCCTAGGTTTTTTGATATTTTCATCCTTCATCCGCTACCAATTTCTAAATGAATTAAGGAAGTATCCTAGAACACTTCGCTTAAATTGCAGCCTAGAATATGCAGGTCAGGCTTGGGCATACAGAGAAAAGCAACACGATTGGAATATGGTAGAAGTAGACCTACATATGGGGAAAGACTAGAACCGTAAAAGCTGCTGAGCTTTCAATATACCTACAAGAACAAGAGGAGATCTTATCTTCACCTACCAAACAACCAACAAATAAAACAACATTCAAACACTTAGATACCTCTCAGGTGAAACAGTTAGTGCTACTTCAGTGTCAGTATTCCAGACAAAACTTGATAGTCAATTCCCATGGTGCTTAAACCAAAATACATATTCAAAAGGTCTGTTCTCACAGAAATCGCAAACCAGTCACAGCAAATTTCATTGGTTGAAAATATTTATTTATTTATTTATTCAGAAAACTTTACATCAAACAGTATAACAGTAATTACATGTAAAGTATGTAACAAGAATCTAGATACAGAAAAAGATATAAAAAATAATTAAAAACAATGTAAAATAGGAACCAATACTAAAATTAAAACTAAATAGGACAGCATTTAAAACACTAAAATATAAAACATAAAATATAAAATCGAACTAGATGCTTCATTGCACTCTAAACCCTATTTCGACGCTCAAGTACTCTCTGAATTTCCTTCATCTTAATATTAAACATATCAACATTCCCTCGAGACACTTAAGACACTATTACAACTCCTTAGCATATTATTTATTGGAGATGTGGTATTACAATTATTTACATAAAATAAGTCTTTATTGGTTATTCTTAATCTAGTCTTTGGCACCTTAAAAAAAATATATTCCATCAGATCACAGATCCTATATTTAGCATTATTCACAATAGAATATACGAATATACCTGCCTGATTATGTCTTCTAATGCACAGCATCTGAAACTCGAATGTTTTCAACATCGCCCTGTATGATACCATCCCCATTTTTCCTGAGATACCTACAAAAATCTCAGAAAGCGTTTTTGAACCTTTTCGATTAAGTCGGAGTGTGACGTTGCTACAGGCGATCAGATGTTTGAGGCATATTCCGTATGTGGTCTCACAAGGGCGTTATAGAGTTTAATGAGCATACTAATTTTGAAATTTCCACTGTTCCGTGTTACAAAACCCAGAGCACGGTAAGCCTTGTTGACTATTTCACTATAGTGACAATTAAATTTTGTATTTGTCTCAAATGTTTCTCCCAAATCTTTGATAACATTTTTTCTGTCAATTGACGTGTCTCGCAGAAATAGAAAAAGAGAGCTTAATTGTAATAAATACAAGTTAGAAAGCAATAAAAATGACATGCGCGCGCAACTCGTGGCTGTAGTGTAGCCAGATTGTATTGTTGCGGAACAAATGTAGACAATACAAATCGAACATTATAACATTAAAGAAGTGATATATTGTCAAGTGTTTTACAACGTCTTAAATCAGACAGAAGAAGAGCTTTAAAGTGTATGTTAACATCGATGGCACTTTTATTTTGATAAATGTTTCATCCGGCAACATCGCACAATGAAATTGCAAAGGAATATGCTCGGGAATATGTCAAGTATAATGTAACATAACCTTAAACGACACTGGGATAAGTTCAAGTAATACGTAAAGTATTAGTTTGCTCTTTGTCAAATTACACGTTACAAAGAAAGAAGGAACGATTAACTCTGAACTCGTACCTGAATCCGAATATGACGCAAGCCCGTAAAAAACTCGATTTTCATTGGACGCTCACCTGCAACCCACGAGTAGCGCGCGCACACCAGGTATTACGAGACACGTCGATTATGGTACTATCAATATAGTAATCCTCAATAGAATAATTTGTTTTGCGAGTGTATACATAGATTTTAAAATATTTGTTAAAATTGTTTCAGCAAATTCTCATAAATCACCCTGTATTTACGAAACTAATAGGAATTTGGCAACAGCGAAAATATATTTTTATTATTCTTCAAAAATGGCAACTTTTTTCTAATTTAAACGCCCTCGTAACTTTAACCATTCTTGAGATAGCAATACTGTCCCTATGAAATAGTTGGGACCCTGTATAGTACCTGTGTACACATATATAGGATATAGTCAGAAAACTGTTTGTGGACGATTTGCACCAATCAAAAATGCTCTGACTGGTTTGTGATTTCTATGAGAAGAGTTCTAAAAACTAACAGTTCTAAAACAATTGATAATTAACAGTGCAAAAATGGGCTTATAGGTCTCACCATGTACCTAATAGTAATTTCCTCCACTCTGCTGATAGTATAGTGGTAACCCATCTGAAATCTCAAGCCAAGGATAAAAACCCTATTTTTATTGAGTTTTTTGATATTTTCAACCCTTCATCATTGCCATCATTCCTTTACAATTTTGAAATTAATTCAAGGAGTTATTCTAGAACACTTTATCAAATCCCTGCTAAAAGATGGTAGTGGTACCATGTCCAAAAAAAGGATAAAAACCGAGGGGTCAACCACTAGTGGCAGTTGGTGTACAAACAGGTGGCAGTACTGGCATTATTGTAAAGTATAGTAACGAGCAGTATTCGGCAGTAACAAGCATTATTCGGCAGTAACAAACATTATTTGGCAGTAACTAGCAATAGCAATATTTGGCAGTATCTGGCAGTATTTGTCATTTATAGCGACATCTATCGGTGGTATTTTTTCTTAAAAATCGTCGTGGCATTATTGGCAATAACTAGCATTATTTGGTAGTAACAAGCAGTATTCGGCAGTAACAAGTATTATTTGACAGTATCTAGCAGTATTTGTCATTTATCGCGACATCTGTCGGTGGTATTTTTTCTCAAAAATTGTTGTCTATATTTGAACGATAAGAAGCATTACAGGCAGTAATGGCATTTTAAAGCATTATCAGCAGTAAATGGCATTATTCAGAAATAAATGGTATTACAAGCAGTAAATGGCATTAACGGCAGTAAACGACATTACAAGCAGTAAACGGCATTATTTAGCAGTTTGGCAGTTGGTGTACACATTTTTACTAGGTGGTTTGCCCCTCGATAAAAACCTTATTTTTATTGAGCTTTTGATTTTCTGAATTATTCATAATTTACTTTTGTTGTAGTCTTTTAGTGTAGGGCACGGATTAATTTGGGAAGCCTGTCATTTTGGATATTAGTTGGAAGGCGATTGAATGTTTAGATGTTTCTGTATACTGGAGAATCCTGACCCTTCTTGGTAGCACTATACTTATTTCTGTATGCCTCTCTGGATCCTATGTTGTCAGAGGGAAAATTCTTGCTTTCATTAAATGTAACATTAGTTCTAATAGAATTATTTTTTAGTTGATAAGTTTATTTTGATTGTTCATGCTTATTTATTTGTTTTATCTTTAAGAATGGTAATTGTTTATATAAATCCTCAGTAGTTGTTTTGTAGTCTATAGAAAATGAAAATATTGCTCTAGTAGTTTGTTTGTTCATCAGATGTTCACTAGCGTTTCCCCAACAGGGTATTAGGTATTTAAGATGGGCTTCGATCATACCGTTATAAAGTAGATATAGTGAAATTATTTAAACAGTATATGCGCGTGATCAAAATTAATGACATAAGCACGTCGCAATGTTGCCGCTATTAACTTTCGTTTTATTTTGACATACCAGGTCTAGTAATAGTATATTACATACCGAGGTGGAAAGTGTTTCATTACTGTCGAGAGATTTTAGTTAGACCGAGGCGCAGCCGAGGTCTAATTAAAATTTCGAGACAGTAATGAAACTTTTCACTGAGGTATGTATACTATTTTATTTACAATCATTCGAATTTTGAAATTTTGATTTGAATTAAAACTAAAAAATACAATAATTAACAATTTCATTTACTTTCGACCCGTGGGCCGAAAGTAAAAGTAAAAAAATACAATAAATTTTAAAAATTCCATTTACTTTCGGCCCACGGGTCGAAAGTAAACTTTCGACCCGTGGGCCGAAAGTAAAAGTCAAAAAAGTGACATTTTCGAACTTTTTAAAAGTCAGTAAAGTCAACATTACATGTATGATTGTAAATAAAATTTGTTATCACTAAAGCAAACAAACATCGATTTTTATAAAAAAAAGATAGTGTATTATGAACACAATCTAAAAAAAACTACTCACTTTTCGTCGTAAATTTGATTGCGAATAGAGATAACATCAAGGTGATCTTGATTCGTAACCTGCTTCTTATGTGGACGTTTTTTCTTTGGTGAATTTAATGCTTAATTATCCCTAACTTTTTGAGAGATTTTACATGGGATTTTACTCACAGTGGTTATACTAATATTTAGTGCAGCTGCAACACGCTGGAAAAATATTCCCAATTAAAGCCCCAGAAGATTTATATTTGATAGTATCAATATACTTCACCTCTCTAACGCTATTTAATGGCAAAAAGGGGCCCCCCAGTCTAATTTTAAATTTATTTTACAGAAGTCCTTGCCATTTTGCTTAATAATCATATAGACAGTCTTTTCTGTATTTATAGTTAGTTTGTTATGGTTCAGCCAATGCCAGTGGTTATTGGTTATATTTCTCAAGCTCCGAATTTAAGATTCGTTCTAAATTATCCCTATTATCTTCAGCACAAACTAATACTGTGTCATCTGCAAACAAACACCAGTAAGTCTAAGACTGTGTAGATATAGTACGTATTGCAGAGGCCCCAGCACTAAACCATGAGCTACTCCACTCTTCACTATCAACTCCAATCACTGACATAAAATTTTTCCTATTGGTTGAAAAGGATTTTAGTAGGCTCTGGCACACACCTCGAAAACCCATTCTATACAACTTAAGGTCTATGCCATTTTGCTTATTAATCATATAGACAGTCTTTTAAGTATTTATTGTTAGTTTGTTATGGTTCAGCCAGTGCCAGAGGTTATATTTTTCAAGCTCCGAGTTTAAGATTCTTTCTAAATTATCCCTGTTATCTTCAGCACAAACTAATACTGTGTCATCTGCAAACATATAGTAAGTAACACCAGTAAGTCTAAGACTGTGTAGATATAGTAGGTATTGCAGAGGCCCTAGCACTGAACCATGAGCTACTCCAGCCTTTGTATATTCCTCTTCACTATCAAATCCATTCATTGACCTAAAAATTTTCCTATTGGTTGAAAAGGATTTTAGTAGGTTCTGTAACACACCTCGAAACCCCATTCTATACAACTTAAGGTCTATGTCGACAGTGTCAAAAACCTTCTTAAGATCAATAAACACTGTAGCAACATATTTTTGTTTTTATTTAGTTGTTCAGTGATGTATTCCAGGCAAGTCAACCGTGGCGATGTGACCGTTGGTCATGACCATTTTACTGCTTAGTGTGGAAATGTGCAGTAAAGTAGACTGCATAGTATGCGGTAAAGTAGATTTGGTGTTTAAGTACACTCAAAAATCCCTTCTCGTTCAGAAATTTCAATAATGCCTTCTTTGGGAGATATAGATGCTCATTGTTCATAGGTATAATTTTGTACCTAACACATAAGTACGGAAATTCATTTACCGACGTTTTACGATGAAGTATTACTTCTGCATTTGTCATGTGAATAACTATTATCTTTGTTATTTTATTTTACCTGCTAGGCTAGGAATGCTAGGCTTATTTACCTACCTATTTTGTAATTTGTAGAAATTTATTCTGTTCTGAAATCCTTAATAATTTGTCAAAACGTTATAATCATTAAGGACCGAGCTTATTTATAGTCGTTCCTTGAATCTTCCTTGGAGTCGCGTTTTTTTTTTTTTCCTTTATTTCAACATGGTAGTTAAACAATATATGTATGAACCTAAACTAGAGACCCTGAGCTGGAGAGCTATACGGGTCATTCAGTATCACATATAACATTATTACAATAAACCGTATTATTTTATACATTATACAATATCACACAAGAGAAAATATCCAGTACAAGTAGGTACTGTATCACAAAGTTGTTTCCTTTATGAATATCTTAGCTCTAAATTGCAGATAAAGTCTTTCATTGTACAGTCCCAAAGTATCCATCGAAGATCAGCTGCTTCAGCTTACACTTGAAGCAAGTTATGTTCAATCTTTTAACAGGTTGTGGAATTCGATTGTAGTACCTTAGTCCTTCTGATAAGATGCTGCGTTGGCCAGTTGTAGTGTTTAGTTTAGAATGGATACTTGCTATTCCTCTGAGCTTGCTACTATTTGACAAGTTAGTCATATCAATTCTAAACGTTCAAGGCTTCTTTAGGTTCTGAGGAAACCTCAAGGACCGACTATAAATTCGGCCCTAAAATTGACTATCCCTATTTTTAACCCATCTTTGAATTAATAGACGATAGACTGTAGGAAGTAGCGTTTTAAATTGAAATAATTACTATGAACTATGACCATGGTCATGACCGTCATGACACGCCATGACGCAAATGACCGTCACGATTTTAAATGACCGTCATTTTACATCACTGTTTACGATTCTATGTATTTTTGGTTTAAGCTCGTTCTTTTTTCCGCATAAGTTATTTAGTATTAGCCGCGTTTTCCTACTGTTACCTTCAGCATCTGCAAATTTTCTTCCTGCAGAGGACTTTTGTAATCTTTTCCTTAGGTTAGTTTCGTTTTGAAGCTTTTTATATTCTGATCCCGGGCGATTTTCGATTTTCCCCTATTATGAAAAATAGCTATAAGTTTTTTATTTATCAATTTTTTTTATTTCTGTAAAAACATTATGGAGAAACTTTTTTGAGCACAATCCAGTGGCGGACTCAGTTTTTTTCTATATCGCTCCGATTTCGAGATATCGACCAAAGTCCGATATTTTCAAATGAAATACCATATATTAATAGATCATTGGATAGCTTTGTTTTTGCTGATTTCAATGATATAAAGTTCGATAGGTTTATCTCTAACAGTTTTCGAGAAAAAAAATTATATCTGTTTTTGTCATAAGAAACAATGAAAAACTTATAGCTATTTTTCATAATAGGGGAAAATCAAAAATCGCCCTGTATCGATGGTACCATTGAAGATATCGTGATACGGTTTTTGGCAATCCACGTTTCTCGAAAATTAATCCCATGACACCTAAGTCAATTTTCCTCTATCTGGTCTGGAAGTATGTTTTTCTTGTTAAAATACTCCAAATTGCAGCACCCTGTACACATAATAGATGTAGTACAAAGGACTCCATAACAATACAAAGGAAAACATATACAGTGTGTCCACTTAAGTTCGCAGCATATGGGAAACTTTTTTATTCTCAATTTTACGAAAAAAAGTTATTCTTGATAAAAGTTTCTGCTTCTTAAAAAAATGATATTAAACTACTAAAACTTGAGATAGCATGTACAGGGTGGTAAAAAAATAGAAAAATATACAGGGTGTTTCCTAATCTGAAAAAAATATCAAAGGTTTTAAAAAATAGTGACGTGCCATTTTTTTTTCTACTTTTACCAAAAAACCACCCTGTACATGCTATTTCAAGTTTTGATAATTTAGTAACATTTTTTCGAGAAGCAGAAACTTTTATAAAGAATAACTTTTTTTCGTAAAATTTATAATAAAAAAGTTTCCCATATGCTGCAAACTTACGTGGACACACTGAATAATAATACAAGAATACATAGATACATGAAAATCTCATGCTCTTCAGTTTTTACTGATTTTCCTATAGATTAAATAGACAACTACAAAAATTACTATGAGGCACACTATTTATTATTGAAATGTAAAAATGAGGTATTCCTTTATATTTATTTCAATATTTTTATCCAGATATCAATGAAAACAACATAAAAATGGACATAATAATTAAAGGAGCTTTCTTCCCCCATGGCAAAGACATCGATGGCAGAGACATTTTAATATTCAAAACCAAAATGCACAGCAAAGGAGTTGTGGATGCGGAAGACCTCAAACGTTGCGTTATTTATTGGTTTGAAAGATTAGAAAGGTAAATTAATTTATTTATATTAGACTTGATATCCGAGATTAATTGATTTTAGGATGACTGATGGCAATCCTATTAGTATATTTTTCGATGTGGAAGGTTGCGGCCTAGGTAACATGGATATGGAATTCATCAGATACCTTATTAATTTGTTCAAGGAATATTATCCGTACTTTTTGAATTATATTATTATTTATGAAATGCCTTGGGTGCTTAGTGGTAAGTCACTTTTACATAAACGTATACCCTTATTATATTTGACATTTGTTTAGCTGCCTTTAAAATAATAAAATCTTGGCTGCCCGAGAAAGCAATAGAAAAATTGAAAATGGTTAGCAAAAAGAATGTGTTCACTTATGTGCCTAAAACTGAAGCACTTCAATGTTGGGGCGGAGATAGCAATTACGTTTTCAGTTTCATACCCGAAGAACCACAGAAGGCTGAAAAATCAGTAGCAGAGTCTAACAATGTATCTGTTAAAAAGGTAAATAACAAAGAGCTTTCAGTTAAAATATGAATTAACTTTGGATAATTGATTGTTCTTTTTTTTTGTAATTAGTTCCAGTAATCCTAATTGTGTTATTTTGCTCAGCTGAAAAAGTCATTGAAATGTACAAAGCATTAGAAACAAAATCCATTGATAATAGTAATGTAAGTGTATTTTCTTCTGGTATTAATAAACGATTACGTAATAATAACAAATAGAAAAATTTGATCAACAAAGCTTGTTACGATAATATTTTTGTTGGTTGACTAAAATCTTCAAACAACTTTCCGTTTATCCCTTGTATGATGCGTCCACGTGGGCGCGCTACGCCAAAGCCTCCCACAGCACAGAGATTTCAATGTCAGAATTGGAATTTCCTCTTGAAAATCAATAAACATCCCCCATCGTTTCCATTCCAGGTTCATTTCATGGACGGGTCCCCGATGTCCGAACAGGCACCATCTGCTGAACCCAAAGAAGGTAAGCCAATTGTTTAGTTGAATTGTTTAATTTATTTAAATTCTTCTTGGATAATGTATTTGTTAGTGCAGGATATTCTAAATAAGAGTGAAACACTATAATAGTGCTTCTGAAAATATGTACAACTGCAAATACCTACACTCTTCTAATTTAAGATTTTAATTTTGTTTATATATAATTTAACATCATGTTTCGGTTTCCTCAATTAATTATGTATTCGTGTGGTTACGTAATAAAATTTGTTGTTTCTACCAGTGCTATTCGATTCATACAAGTTTTATATTTAGAAAACACATTTAATCTAAGAACTTTCCAATGAACCAATAATTGTAGGAAAATGCTCCATTCTAGATGGACCTCTTGCAGTCTCTCCGACAAGCATTATCACATTTGTCAAAGAAGGAACAGAACTGATAAGCACATTGGAGTTGCACAACACCGATTCAGCTGCTACAATTGCCTTCAAGGTAAAATTCAACTTATTACTTAGTGTCAAATCATGACTTATATTTTTCCAGCTAAAAACTACTTCTCCAGAAAAATTCAGAGTCAAACCGAGTACAGGGTGTTTGAAACCTGGCGCCAAAGATGTAGTGACTGTTACTCTTTTGCCTGGATTTCAACTGGGTGGTTTATCTAAAGACAAGTTTTTGGTGATGAGCTCTATTTTAGATGAGAAGGAAATAGCAAGTCTGGATTTATTGGAACTATGGAAGGTATTTATTAGGAATCAATAAATCTTGAATAACTTGATATTTTTATATTAATATTGTTTTTTGTTCAAATAGAACACTGGCACTAGAAAAGTGTTTCAAACTCGTTTGCGTTGCGTGCAAAGCGGCGAAGTAACCAAAAATGGCAATGTGGTAATGAACCATACCATGACCAATGGGGATAACGGAGATGGTCAGCTGTCAAAAATGTCATCAACTTTAAGTAAAATCGCTGATAATCAAGTTGCACTTGGAACATCGCTGCAAAGGCTACAGTTGATTCAGATAGGACAATTTGTGTTGACTTTAGTATTAGGTAAGATATCTTCTTAAAATCGTTTTCAACATTACATATGGTTTTTTTAGGGATAAGCATAATTTATGTAGTCAATTCATTCAGCAGTGCCACTTCTTCCAGTAATAACAACTACTGTCCAGGTCCAAACACTCCGTAGCCGTAGCTGATTGTAGCAGAGCCAAATTTCCAATTTACTTTTGCCCAAAGGGTGTTCGTTATGATGCTTTATCAGTTCTTGTATGTAGTTTGTTTAATGTTTTTTTAATTTTAAGTTTGTTTTTTGTTCTGGTGTTGAGGCTCTGTGTTATATACATGATTAATACCTGTATTCCATTTTGTGTTAAGCTTGTTTATGAAATGCCATGTGCCAAATATTGGCCCAATAACAATTTAACACGATTTTTTTTATTAAGAGAGGCATGACAAATGTTTGTTGAAAAGGAGAATTGCCTAACTTATTATTAAGAATACTGTATTGCAAAAATGCTGTGAAAACAATCATATATTACTGAACTGAATTGAGAAATAAAAATATTTGTATATTATATAAAGTACACCTGTTCTATTGTGGAATGACAATTTTGTTTATATCATTGTTTCAAAAATTACTGATTTTTTTTAGCTTTAAAGTCATAGAAGTAAAGTAATTTCGTTTTTGAGTTGAATTCATTATTATCGATTTTGTTGAATAGGTATTTATAATATAGTTTTTGCACTCTTATATTTTTTGTACCTACATTTATAGGAAGGGCTTATAATATTGTTAAAATAAAAAATTTAATAGACAGTTAATTTTGTAGTTTGAATTTATTTTTATTGTCGGAGGCCTCAAAATATGGACATGATCTTGGATTTAAAAGCAAACAGCACGCAATATGTACAATTTTGCAATGATTTGACTGCAACTTTTGCTGGTAACACTTCATACGCCTATTACTTGAATTAATTAAACACCACTAGTGATTTAGAAAAACAAGCAATTAACTAATAATTTTCATAGGTAGGTACTAAAGTGACCGTGTTACAAAGCAAGAAAATCTGTCCTCTAGCCAACGAAACGATCCTTTGATAGCACTGGGGATACAATGTAGCCACGTTTAGTACATAATAGATGGGGAATACAATATTTGAAAACAAAACATAATATAATACACATTTATTTCAGAGTCAAACTAGTGCAGAAATAAAAATATATACAATTCATTTACATGTGGTGTAGACATCCTATTTTTAAGTTTTGAACATAAAATATTTTCAAAAAAAAAAAGCTTCAGTAGTGAGGCAACAATCCAAAAAATAAATAAGTAAAGCATGCAATATCACTATTGGAGCCTTATAAAAGGTAAACGAAATTTTTCTATACAACCCAATTCAAATAATAAAATTTATTTAATCTATGTTTGAAAGTAACGTAAGCGTGTCTCTCTGTTGATCATCATCTTCATCGTCCTAAAATGTCAAAATTCAAGAAATGCATTACTATTAAGTAAATAGTTGACTTACATCAAATCCAAAACAATTTTGCATATCAGTATCCGCAGTATTAATTATTGGCTTTTTATCGTCATCATCGTCCGCTTCAATTTTAGGCATCCTTGATGCGGATTGCAAAGCTTTAATAACATCTTCGTCAAGTTCTAAAAATGGAAATTATAATAATTATAACGAAAAATCTATTTTGTTCAAAATAACTCACCTCCATCTTGCATGACCCCATCCATTCCCATAATATTGCTACTACCCTCATGCGTTACAACCTCTCCGTCAGCCAATTGAATTACTTCCAATACGACATATTGGTTACCGTCCGAGGCTTCTACAGCCATCAAATCAATTTCTTCTTCCTCTTCAGAATCTAAACCAGGACCGTGAACTTCCACTTGTTGACCATCGATCAATTGAATCTTTTTTTGCCTGCCAAGTTTCAATTGGAGTTGCTTTTGTTGGACTAGTGGATCTGGATCGTGGGCTGCCATATGACGTATCAAGTTACCTTGAATATAATTTGGTTAATTGAAATTGTGATTATTTGAGAAATTATATAGTAGCGGAATCTTAGCTCGAACATATCCGCAATAACTCTAAGAGACGAAAACACTGAGAAAATAATTACTGCAGAGGTGTTTGTGGATCATTTTGAAAAAGTGTTTACTCGAGAACCTCCGGACAATATGACGAATTCAAGAAACGGTGCGACCCTATCAACCTATTGTTTTTTCCCCCCAACATCGTCGAAGAGTCAATTCTCGCTCTCAAGAAAGATTCTACTCCAGGTCCCGACAACATTCCAACCATATTTTTACAAAAATGTGCAAAATCTATCAGCTCGCCCCTTGCACACGCAATGACTAACCTGATGAGTAGTGAGACAGTATCGGAAAAATGGAAAGAAGTCTACACCATTCCAATTCATAAAAAAGGCGATAAGTTTTATCTAAAAAATTATCGTCCCATAAGTCTTACTTGTAACACTTGCAAATTAATCGAAAAAGTTGTAACCATACAACTGACAAACTTTCTAATGGAAAACATCCTTCGTCTTCACAGCATGGATTTTTGCCTAAAAGATCGACTGAAACCAACCTATTAACATGCTTTGATACATGGTCAAAAATGAATGACGAGGGACAACCTATTGACGTCATATGCCTGGACTTTAAAAAGGCTTTCGATAAGGTTCCAATCAATCATATATTATACAAACTTCAGCACTATGGAATAAGTCACAACATATTGGGTTGAATCCGAGACTTTCTAATGATCGAATGTATCCGGTTAGAGTTAATGGGGCTTATTCGACCCGACATAAGCTATATAGTGGAGTTACGCAAGGCCTTGTATTTGGTCCAATACTCTTTCTCATATACAAAGTGGCAAAAAAGTCGCGCATAATACCTGTAACTTTTTAATTACCTCGTATACGAAAAAGTGACCTTTATAAAAGTTGCTCAGTAAATTATTTCCCACATTTCTACCTAGACGAATTGATTCTGTCACTTCTGGTTTGTTTGCTATCCAGACAAACTTTCTTTTTTCAAATGGAACACCCTGTATGTGATTGCATACTTGAATTCTACGTAAAATTCTTCTTCTTCTCAGTTTCTTATGGTCCCTTGTCGTCTAGTCAGCCAGAATTCCAACAATTGTATCCTCAAGACAGCAGGATTCCACTCTTTTGGCGGATACTTTAGTTTTCAAAATAGGATCAGTTGGGTAATTTTAGCTGTGGCGTCTTCAGCTGGGTAATTCGACCGCCAGGAAAATAGGACATTTGTTGAGTACCTAGTAGAAAACCTTTCTCTATTAGTTTTCAATTTCAATTACACATTACGCCTATCATGCAATTCAAAGCTCAATTCGCAAAAATTAACAAAGACTAAAAGCGTGCACATCACCAAAAGCGTCAAACATCCACCGCATCTGTTTAAATACTTATATGATGCTTCTTAATAAAATCCATCACCACAGCAGCCTCCCTACTAAATGGATTCGCCAAAATTTCTTCCATCTGAATCGGAACCCCCTTCATTCCAATCAAACTTGTATTTACAGCCTGTATGTCAGGTCTCTATTAAGTTCACAGTTCAATAGTAAAACGTGATTCAGATCACCCAATTCTTCACATTCACAATTCTCACTGTCCTGCATACCAAGTTAGGAAGGTGTTTTGGTATGAGGCAATGTGCCGTTCTCATTCTGCAAAAAACACTAGCTTTCTGTCTATCTATTTTCTCTATTTTACTGAACCATGGTATTCGTAGGGGTTCCTTCACTAATTTGTGATACTGGTTCTAATGATTTCTGCCCTTATTGGAATATTCCACAGCCCATTCCCTCCATGTTTCTTCCTTAGTTATTCTGGCCAGATCCTCTTAGTGTAATGTTTTATTTACAAAGACGTTAGCCCTGCAAGGTCATCTGCCTTTATCATTTCCTGTTATGGCTGAGTGACTTTGGCATGAGTGATTTTAATTTCCACACCCCCATCCTGTATTTCTTGAATTTTTTTCCTAGTTCTTAATGTGCTTCTATCTGAAGCTCTATGAATACCAGCTCTGACTATTTTCTCGATGGCACTCTTGGAATCCGATATCAGGACAACCTTTCTTTTATCATTCTCCAAGGTATTCAAGGCTGCATAGATGGCCAGCACCTCTGCTGAGCAAATATTAGTTGAATCCTGACATTTTCCTATTATTGGAAATATATTTGTGTTATAAAAAACTCCAATTCCGCAGTGTGCTGTTATAGGGTCAAAAAATGCATCTGTGTAGATATGTTGATAATCTATATATTCCTCCAAAATTTCCTGCAGTTTTACTTGAGCATCTAGGATATTCTTTTGTATGTTCGAATCAACCCATTCTATTTTTCGCATTTGAGCTTTCATATCTTCTTCGTAACATGGAAGATTATCCGGTTTTTCTAATATTTCTATATAGGCAAGCACAAAATCCGCTCCCTTCATAATCGCCGGAGCGCCAATAGGAAGGGTCCTGGTTGTATAACGCATAGAAGTTGATTATCCTCTTGTTAACCTCATCCCCTTTTAAAGCCATTTTCCTGAGCATCAATCTTGTACTAAGAAGATTTCTTCGTTTAGCCAATGGTATTTCAGCCGCTTCGGATAACAGCACCATTATGGGTATACTCTTCATACAGCCAGTCACCCCTCTCAGGGCTTGGTACTGGATGCGATCCAATCTGTTCATATTCATCTTACTCATGTGATGCATGGCTTGACAGCCATAATCAAAGTGGGATCTAACTAGTCCTTCATATATATTCAGCAAAATATTTGGGTCTGCGCCCCACCATGTTCTTGTGACAGTGGCGGATCCAGAGGGGGAGCACTGGGGGCAAGTGCGCCCCTCGTAGGAAAAAGTGTCCTCCGCACGCATAAAAAATATATTCTTTTGAATAGTAACATTTTCACTTGGGCTTTCAAGATTATTTCAACTGATTGGCTTTCGGTTGTAATTTGATGGCGGCTATTGATTTTGGTGAGAAATGCAGTATAAAATTGTAAATTATAGCTTTGTTCCAACCCAGCAGAAAATTGTAATATTACGGTCAGGATTCTGCACAAAACCTAAATTTTTTGCGCAGAAGCCGAAATTCGTATACAGAGTGGTTCCGAAACCGTTCTGGGACGGTTTTTTGAGGGGTTGCAACAAACCTTTTGATATTTTGATATTTATGTTTACCTACGTATCGAGTTTCTTTTCTTAGAATAAGTCTATGATACTATATTCCTTCGCAATAAGCAGGTATTTTAAACCTAGACACAGGGTCATTTTTTCTATTTTCCCACCCCCTTAACTTTTTTGTGCTACTCTGTATAGAAAAAATGTAAATAGGAAAAGTGTATAGCTTAAAAAATAATTCTTAGAAAACACAGTTTTGTGCATACCGGGTACCGCAGAAAGTTTAAAAAACAAAAAAATATTAATTTTTTTAAATAGGACACCCTGTATATTATTGAATATTCTGATTCTACCTACGTAAAATTCTGAGCAGATTTCATGTGCACTATACCTAAGTTCAACTGTTTTGGAAATATTGACAGTTGAAATTTGATTTTTTTGCAACTTTGACAGGCTGTAAAACCTGAACGGTTAATTTTACAGCAAAACTGATTTTACATTTTCATTTTTAACGTTTCATAAGCTATTCTTTGACGCCAACGTTAACTTCAACCGGAGATTGAATTTAGTTGAAATTTTCGATCATGGATTAAATTCAAAGTTTGTGTCAACTGATAGTTTATGAAAATCTAAGAAGTGAATGTAAAATTGGCACACATTGTCCCATAAAAAAATATACTTTTTTGTTTTTAAAACTTTCTGCAACACCCTGTAAAAACAGAACTATGTTTTCTGGAAATTATTTTTCAACCTATACACTTTTCCTATTTACAAATCCATTCATTGACTTTGGCCTCTTTCATCTTGTCTCTCAGACTTTCCATTGATACATTGTCATAGGCTGCACGGATATTTATAAAGGAACATACTAGCACTTCGTTTTTGGTAAACGCTGTATATATGGCATTGGTCAAAATGACCAGATTGTCAATTTTTCCTTTACCTTTTTTAAACCCATTCTGGTATACATTGAAGTAGTTTTTTCTTTCCAGGAAATGCTCTAATCGCGTCTTGAGAATGTTTTCCATTACTTTGCCCAAACAGGAAGTCATCACAATTGGTCTATATAGGATTTGTAGTCTTCAGGGTCTTTCTTGGGTTTTTTGATCGGAATGACAATTTGATTTCTCCAATGCTGCGGAATATCTGCTTCCTGTTTGAAGATCTTGTTAAGGAATTGCAACAGTAATTCTTTTATAAAAGGTGGTATTCTTGACATCGGATAGGTAATTCCATCGCATCCTTTTTTGTTTAAAGAGCGATCTCTAACTCTTCTTCTCCTATTTCAAAGCAATCTCCTTCCTTCCGCCTATTCGCCGCCAATTCAGGGTTATTACCGACAAACGGAGGAGCCAGTGTGTCTAATAGATCACTAACCCAGTCTATCTTGTCTTTGTTTGTCTTCATCTACTATATTGTTTGAAATTTTTTTAATAACCCTCCAGACATATCCAATTGATGATTCTCTACTTAATGTTTCTGTGAACCTCCTAAAACTTCTTTTTTATCTTTAGGATACGCCTCGTCCTGGCAGCAAGTTGCTTATATTTCAAATGCTCCTTAGGTAATTTCCCATAGCCTCTTGTCTTTCCTCTGTTAATTTGTTGCAGTCTTCATCCCACCAGTTTGACTTTGGACTGGAGTATATCTATTTTCACTTGATCCTAAAACTCTTGGGATAGCTTCCCCAGCAGAGTTATCTATTTTGTCTATGAATGCTTGATAATTCTCAATTTCTTCTCCACCCTTGTAAAACGCCGTTTCATATTTTTGCCAGTCAGCTTTATCAGTTCTCCATTTCCTTAGTGGTTCCCTTCTGTGCTGTTTTCTGATTTCACATATGGTAGGCAATGATCACTAAGTTCGCTCGGGTTGGAGACCGACCAGTTGGAAAATGTTCCAAGATCCTGGGTTACCATTGTTATGTCTGGGCAACTTTTGTTTTGGTTCGGTTGTGTTATTTTTGTGCTCTTGCCGTCATTTAATATTATTAAATTCTTATCCTCAATGTATTCCATTAAGTGTCTACCATTGTAGTTGTTAATCTACAAACCCCATAGGCTGTGTTGGTCATTTATGACTCCCATAATAATAAATGGAGCTTGTATCCCTTTCTTCAAACTGTAAATCTCTAATAGCGTGTACATCTTCCTGTAGGTATTGGCTGTCTGCGTCCTAATCGGATCCCCCAAATATCTGGGTTGCATTGTGGATTTCCCCCATAGTAAAGTCCTTCATCTCCTGAGATAAGGTTGTTTTTCCAATGACTTCTTGTATTACATCTAATATTGATGTTGGCTGTATGGAATAGGCACTTCCTGCCACCGAATCTTTCCTTGTGCTTATTTGGGTTGGAGTTCTAGCTGATGCAGAAATCAGACATTTTTTGTGCGCTTCTCTGTCGTACCCTGGTGAACTGGGCATTTTCCTTTTGAGATTGCATGCCGCCGAGGCATATGAAGGGCTCCTTGGTGTATTGGGTCTCGATATGTATAGATGTCTCTGGTTTACTTCAATTGGTGTATTGGCTTCCGAAGCTCTTCTTGCATGATTTAGGGCTGGGAAATCTCTATGGTCTAAATTACTTATTCTTTGTCCAAGTCGCTGTCCTAAAATTTCATCTCCTTTCGGATGTTTGTTCCTAGCTTCAAAATAGGATATATTTTCTGTGATCATACTGGTTTTGATTGCTTTCTGTCTCAGGTATTCCTTGCATTGCCTGTCTGTAGCTTTGTGCTCTGTGTTACAATATAAACAGTTTGGTGTGTTTTGTGTACACTCTCTTTCTTCATGGTCCTCTGCACATATTGGGCATCTTTGTTTACCTCGGTACTATTTAGCCGTGTGACCGTACCTTAAGCACTTAAAGCACATCAATACTGGACTTATGTATACTGAAATTATTACATCACAGAAATCTAGGTTAACTGCCCTTGTGGAATCACTTTCCCTTGGAACGTAAACACCACTGATTCAGTATTTACATATTTGATTTCACCGTTTTCAATTATTCTCTTCTTTAGTCTTCTGGCTTCAACAACCTTTGCTACAGATTTTGTATTTTCAACTACTTCCTCTTCAGTTATACTTTTGTAGATCCCTCTGGCTATACCTTTACAGGTAACTAGACTCGCTGGAATATAGGCGTTTAGATTCTCATCCATTAATATTTTATTATTCAGAAATTCGTTGCACTTATATAATTGGTAAATTCAATTCCGACTCTGTTTTTCCCTTTTCTAGAGGTTTTCTCAACTCCACTGTTTTTCAATAGTCTACCTACACTCATGGGGTGCAAGTTTCCAATATGATCCTCATTCTTGCTTTTGACTACGACCATGTAGGATATCGAATCTCTGAAAGTATAGGTAAAATTATGGCTATTTGTCTTTTTTGCTTCCATATTACTAGGCGGGGGCCTACGATGGCCCCCTGTGTCTTCTTTCATGTGGTTCTCAAACTATTCTAGGTTAGGAAAAGCAAAAGCAGGAAACAGGAAAAAAAAGGCTATACTACTGCAAGCAAGGATTTTTGTGTTGGGGACTTACCCCAGGTATACTTGATTGATTTTTAGTATTCTAAAATTTTTAGTTTCGCAAAAATTAATCAGAAAATCGGATACCGAGCTGTCACTCTCTGGCGCCAATCGTCGATCTCATCCTACGTAAAATTCTGAGCAGATAATAGGTTCGTTCCAACCCAGCCAAAAACCGTTCAATGTACGGTCACGGTCATGCGCCATAGGTTAAAGGCGTTCCAACCGAGAGATAATCGTTTACCGTACAGTTTTGTTGGCGTTCCAACCAAACCTGGGATCGTTCGAGAACTGGTTTTAGCACCGTCATTTCGATCCCGAGTGGAAAGCAAGAACCGCGTGGACTGATCCATGACTGACATGCGTAATTCAATTTTTGTCACCTGTTGTTGTTGTTCATGTTGTTGTTAAACAACCAATTTCCAATCTAACTTATAAAACTGTAGCATTTTTATTTTTTCAAGTGAAAAAAAGTACAAAATTTATTATCAGCTATTTGCTAATTCTTGATGTTATCAGCTTGCAAGGATTCAGTTTCAGATTCTTGATAATGAATCAGCGTTGGTGTTCGATTTTCCTTTTTTATATATTATTTTGTAATCCTAATCCTATGTTCTTCTATTTTAATTTGCAAACAAACAAATTTAGGGTTAAATTTATTTGAACTGTCGTCATTACAAAAACGATCATGAAACCGTTCCAACTACCCGTTGTTTCTGTACCAAGATAAAACCGTGCAAGGTCAACGCATGCGCCTGCAATCGATCCTAACAGTTCCGAAACCGTTTCATGACGATACGAAAACGGGGGGTTGGAACGAACCTATTATGTAAGTATCATGTGATATACCCTATACCTAAGTTCAACTGTTTTGGAAATATTGACAGTTGAAAATTGATTTTTTTGCAACTTTGACAGGCTGTAAAACATAAACGATTCATTTTAGAGGAAGACTGATCTGACATTCTTGTTTTAGATTTTCATAAACCATCATTTGACACCAACTTTGAATTTATCGGAGATTAAATTCAAAGCTGGTGTCAAAATTATGAAAATCTAGACAGAAATGTGAGATCGGTTTTTCTCTAAAATAAACAGTTTAGGTCTTAGGTTTTACAGCCTGTCAAAAATGCAAAAAAGTCAATTTTCAACTATCAATATTTCCAAAACAGTTGAACTTAGGTATATAGTTATCACATAAAATCTGCTTAGAATTTTACGTAGAATCCAAATATGCAATCACATACAGAGTGTTTCATTTGAAAAAACAAAGTTGGTCTGCAAAAAATAGCAAACAAACCAGACGTGACAGAAACAATTCGTCTAGGTATAAATGTGGAAAATAATTTACTGAGCAACTTTCATCAAGGTCACTTTTTCGTATACGAGGTAATTAAAAAGTTACAGGTATTATGCCCGACTTTTTTGCCACTCTGTATATATAAGCGACCTGCCAATGAATCTCAAAACCAATATCAGTTTCTTTGCAAATGACACCAAGCTATTTTGCAATCCCACCACCAGCAGCGAAGACCTTAAATCTGACCTACTGACGATATCCGAGTGGTGTGAGAACTGGATTGATGACCCTCAACGAAAATCAATGCACTGTATGTACTCCACATTGGCACCAACAATCCTCTATATGATTAGGAACTTGACGGCATAACTTTGGTATTTACTGATGAACAGAGAAATCTTGGCGTTATTGTAACCAATAATTTGAAACCAGAAGCACATATTCCAAAATGCATCAAAAAAGCTAACTCAGTGGCCTACCTACCTGACGAAAAAAGCATTCAAGAACCACCCAGTCACTACAACCCTACAAATATATAAATCATTCATCAGACCCATGCTGGAGTATGCTCAGTCAGTTTGGAATCCCTACTTTGCCAAAGATATTGCCGCATTGGAAATAGTTCAAAGAAAAATCACTAAAATTCCACCAGAAATTCGAGACCTCACATATAAAAACCGTTTGAAGCGGTTCAATCTAACAACTCTACGTGACAGGAGATCAAGAGTAGGTTTGATTACAACCTATAAAATCCTAAGTGATTACTACTCTGTCAACATGAATATACTCTAAGTGACAACTACAACCTTCGAGGACACTCCAAAATATTGGAGAAAGAGAGATGTTCTAAACTCCTCAGAAGAAATTTCTTATGCAACAAAGTGGTCTATACTTGAATTTCCTTGGGCGAAGAAACAGTCGCAGTACCCAATACCAACACATTCAAGAATAGACTGGATGGCAACCTCAATTTATAACACACTGGTTCACTATCCTGTATAATCCATTGAACACAACACAACTTCCGAATTGACAGTATACAGCAGCTCCATCTGTTTTACCGCTTGCTGTTTTTTAAATAATAATAATAAAATAAAATAAATAATAATACCTTTGTGTCTAAAAGTTCTGGAACATTCAGGACACTCGTGCGTCTTTTCCTTAGGCGGTGGAGGGATATATTCAGGATTGTGGTACAAATTCTGGTGACGTTTCAATAATTGCTTTTGCCTGAAAAGATACAATATACATATAAATTTTGAAAATTCAGATTTCATAACTACTGCCATGGATCAATTTGTGAACTTACGATGTTAAAGTGTGGTTTTGACAAGCAACAAACTTTTAATAATAAAATTAAAATCAATTTACCTAAAGGTCTGATCACATAAATCGCACTCATAAGGTTTTTGGTCAGTGTGAATCAGCAAGTGAGACTCCAAATGCCTTGCGGAAATTGAAGCGTAGGGGCAAAGTTCGCATTTAAAACATTTTTCACCTTCATGAGATTTGCTGTGAAGCTACAAAAATTCAATAATTATTATTATAAAATGTGTCTAATACTAATTGAAAGTTTCACCTTATAACTATATCTATCAGGGAACGATTTGCCACATCGTTTGCACTTCAGGGGTTTATCCGATGTGTGCAACTTTTGTACGTGGATTCTTAGATCAGTTTTTCGGCCGCAAGTCGTAGGACAGAGTTCGCATTGGAATATTGGTTTGTCTCCAACTAGAAATTACATTATAGAATACAATAAAATAAGACAATTACAAGTATTACTTACTATTGTGTATCAATTTATGAGCCTTCAAACTATTACTCTGAGTAAATCTAGCCGGACAAACATCACACTCATAAGGCTTCTCTCCAGTGTGTATCCTCAAATGCCTCTTCAATTTAAAAGTATCCGGGCTGGCGTAAGTACAATGCGGACATTGATAAGGTCTCTCACCAGTGTGACAACGAATATGCCTTTTCAATTTGGACAGTTCCACACTGGCATAGTCACATTCGGTGCATTTATGCGGTTTTTCGTGAGTGTGGCGATAGCGCACGTGACGTACCAACTCGCCGGATGTAGTGAAAGCACCTTCGCAATATTTACAGGCATGTGGCTTCGTGCCAGTGTGAGTATTGACGTGATTCTGTAAAGAAGCTATGGTTTTAAAGCCGCGTTCGCACACCTGGCATTTATGCGGACGTTCTTCTGAATGCGATTTCATGTGTCTTGATAAAAGGTAGCGCTTGGAGCTTGTGTAGTTGCAATAGTTGCACATGTGAGCCTGGGCTACTGTTTGGGTACTTTTTCTAGGTACTACTTTGATGATTTTTGATTTGTCATCTTCAGTATCAGAGTCCATTTGGACGCTACCATCTTGATCGTCAAAATCAAAGACTAAAAAATGTCTTATTATTTGTTGCCTTAAAATTCAAATTCATGAAAATCATACCAGTCATATCTTGATCATCCTCGTCTTCTTCTTCGTCGTCGTTTTGGTCATTATCCTTCATGTCTGGATCCTGGACAATGAGAACGTAGCTTAACTCACCGGAATTGTTGTCTGATGGAAGTACTGCAAGTCTCTGGTAAGAGTTGCCCGAATTCAATAAAATCTGATTCCCGGAATTATTGCTTTGAACCATTTGCTGTGAAAAAAACATACAATCTAAATGCATTATGATACAAAATAGGACTTACAAAAAGAAACATGATATAGCTAATGAACAACAATCATCAAAATAAAGTCAATTATTTGTCTCTAATCAATCAATTAATTGTCAAAATTTTAGTGAAATTTCAATCAACACCAACCTCGTCTTCATCTTCCTCTTCCTCCACCTCATCTGCATCGTCATTTTCCTGGTTGATTACAAATTCTTCTCCCTCATCAGCAGATTGCGAAGGTAGAGCCGACATGACAGTCATTACAGGCTGCGTGTCCCCTTTTGCTTGAAAATAGTAGTGACCCGCTTGATCCACAAAGTAAGTACCCTCTTCAGATTCACCTTCTGCTTCCTCTGATGCTGAAAATAATATTTTAGCAGTACAAACAAACAACCAGCTTGTAACAATAATAGTTTTGAATCTGATGCAAAACATTGAAAATAAAAGGCTTGCCTTGGGAAGGAGTTTGTAAGGATTTATCAATAAATCTTTAAACAATTTTAACCAAACCCAGTTATCATCAATTTCAGTTATGCCTGGCGAGAAAGCACACTTTTCAACTTTGGCCAGCTGCAGTTGTAGGCCAAGCAGGACTAATCGCCGGCTTGAAAGTGTATTTTTTTCGTAGCAAGGCCATCTGTGAAATCCCCAGACACAACGTATTGATGTCCTTTGACAATTTGATCGGCCAAAAGGTCAGTTTTAGACGACAAGGAGGATTTAAGAGAGGCATTTTGATGGATTATGTTATGGATCAAACAACAATGATGCCAGTGTTTTATGTTGAATGTGAAAAAAAAGCGATATTTGCTGTTGCGTTTTTCGATTTGTTTCTAACTTCGAAGCAAGCTGATAGAGTTTTGCCAGAGATGTACTCGACAACTTCATTGTTGTCTTGGTAATATACATTATATAAGTGATTATGGCTGTTTTTTATTTGATTGTGTGATAGCTGAGGTCGTATTACAAAACTATGTAGCAATGGTAATTTGCTATTACACTATTCCACAATTTACTAACTAGTAACTTATTTTAATGCAGTAGGTTTACAATATAATTAAATCTAGAGAAATATCAAGATTTTTTTTAGATTTGCAATTACCTATAAATTTTTCAATGTAATTTGATCGCTTAATAATTTAATACTATTTGGAATCATGTTATAGAATTTAGGAACCAATAGTAGTTCACAGATCTCTGTATAAAACTGGCATTGCAGCCAGATGTTTATTTGTCCTATTTTTCAAATTATATGGGTGATTAACAATGGAAACAATGTCAGGGTTTTCATAGACAAATAGGCATACCGCAAGTATGTGAAGTGATCTAACTTTGGGTATTTCTTCAGAATATAAAAGTTATGTGGAATACAGTTTAGATTTGTTTCTTATAACCTATAACCTTAACGGGGTATTAAAAATACCTACTATAGTTAAATGTGAGGATATTCAATGAAATTTTGCATGCTTTAATGATACCTCTACCTATTTTTAGGAAAAATTACAGGATTTTGGAAACGCAAAGATCTTTTTTTTGGCTCCCATTTTATGCTTCTATAGAATCAACACTGGAGAGTGAAAAATACTAATACCCAATTACATATTTTCAAAAACAAATTATTTATTATTGCCACCCATTTAGGAATAGTTATATTTCTGTTAATATGATTTCGCGTTTTGAGAGTTTCTTACCATTCCCTGAAGGCATACTGTTATCACCGATTTCCTTCTGAAAGCCAGCCAAATATGACTGGATTTCGGTGACATTTTCTGCACCCTCCTCTAGCTTCACTGTGGCACGGACATCTATAAACTGCGACATCTTGTGTTTGGATGACGATTTATTGGCTACGGACTGTAGAGTTGATGCATATCTAATAGAAAAAAATATATATTAAATTCATTTATTAGAGGAAGGTATTCAATTTGATTTAAATTTTATAACATTTATGAGTATAATTATGGCTATTTTCAAGGAAATATTGATTGGTATTACTAGGAATTATATACTAAGGAATTTTTGAAATTGAGAACAATATCTAGGAATTGTCAGGAGTTACTGGGAATTATTAGCTTTGCTAGGGAATTCTTAGGCATTGCTGGAGAATTACGGGGAATTAGGTGGAAATTCAAAGTAATTCCACAATTAGGCATTGTGGAGTACAAAAACTGGATCAGGGGTTTACCAATTGAGATCAAGAGAAAATGCACATGTTTTGTTAAGGAGAAGACCTCGGGGATTGTGTTCTGGCTGTGCACTTGTGCTGATATTCTATGAAATCTCTGAAAAATTATAGGGAAATCTTGGAAGAAGAAGAAAATCTGAAGAAATCTTAGGGGATCCCGGGTAATCTAGGGAAATCTGTGGATATCTTTTGCATAAAGATGATATTTATTGTACACTTAAATATATTGTGAGTAATTATTTGCAATTATTTATTACTTAACTTTGATAACAATGAGCCGGCAGTACTGGTAGAAGATGTGAAGGCATTTTTGAACCAATAATTAAAAATTAATATTAGGTACACCTAAATCAGTTACCAGGATAGCAGAAAGAACCTGGATAATAGAACTACAAAATGAAGTGGATAAGAGAAAAATCATGGAAAATAAAACTAAACTAATGGACATGAGAGGGAAAAACAAAAAGAAATAAGATTATTCGCAAATCAGGAAAGGCAAAAAGGAAAAGAAGTAAACATAGGATTCAAAAGGTAACTGTAAATGCAAAGGAGTGGAGATGGGATAAAGAAATAAATAAATTAAAAAAGACAGGAAAAACCTTATCAAAAAACTGAATAGCCAAACGAACAATACAAGGAAAACAACACAGAAATGGAATGGACTATGAATAAGGAAGTTAGTGATAACAAGAAAACTGAGGAAATATGTAAAATGGGTAGGGGAAAGTGGGTAACATTGAGACACGGGTAACAGTGAGACATTCAAAATATTAGCTATTTCTTAACTTTTTAAATAGGTGTCGCCCCAATAAGACATTAATGATGTCTTAAGAGGAGTATCGATTCTATTTTCAACCATCTCCCATTTTTAGTTTTGTCTGCAACGCGGAAGGGGGTACAACCTTTCGGTTATTTTTTTCTGCCAACGAACTTTTTCGGCGAAATTTGAAAAAACGGTGATTTTTTCTATTACGCATAGTCTTTGAGTGATATAAGGGAACCTTTCTGCTGTTAATTGGATTTATTAAAACTAAATTAAGATCGAAGGGGTACTAAAAAATGGCATTTTATTTTTTAAAGTGACTTGGGTATGAATGAGACATGTTTAGATGGGTAACACTGAGACTATGTAGTTCTAGTAGAATTTGCAACTGAAACATTAAAGGGAAAAAATCTACCTATTACTTAAGAAAATTAATTGTTATCAGAAATCGATAGTGATATCAAAAATGATTATGAATTATTGAACCATTTTTAAGGAAAAGTGATAAAAAGGAGGGATTTTTGTTTCCCCAAATGTCCAAATTTTAGAGATATTGCCACTGTTTCTAAAAGAGAAATTAAGATGATTTTGCCAAAACCAGTGAATTACGGAAAGACTGAAATCGATCCTACCATGGCTTTGAAACTTTGTCTGGGTCATTTGTAGAAGTTTGTTTCAGTTTATTCAAGTAATTATTTCTCATTTGATATAGTGTCTCATTGAACTCTCTGCATGGGTATCAATGAGACAAATGTCATGATAACTGTTTATGTCAAATATTGTCTTTGTAAGTGACTATAGAATCAAAAACATAATACATTTCTAACTTAGATTTATTCTTGAGTGTTACTGAGAAAAAAAAATATCCATATTTTAAAGGTTTAGGGTTAAATATTTTCATTAGAAATAAAAGTGTCTCAGTGTTACCCAGTTTCCCCTACGTGGAATATTAGAAGTATGTTCGGGAAAGAAAAAGAACTAGAAGAATTCGAAAACACAGACTTGAAACTGCTAGCCATAACAGAAACACAGAAGAAGGGACAAGGAATGATAAATATGGATAATGGCCACATACTTGTGTACAATGAAATTAAGAAAGAAGATAGAGCAGCAGCGGGTGTTGCATGGATAATTCACAAAGACATAAAAGAAAAAATGAGCAAATGGAAAGGTTGGTTGGAACGATTATTAGTGTTGGAACTTAAAGATAAGAATAAAAGCATAAGAGCTATTATAGTTGTGTATGGACCCAATGAAGACAATTCAATAGGTAATAAAGATACATTCTGGGAAGATTTAACCATGGCCACAGAAGATGCAAAAGGAAAAATAATTATACTTGGAGATTTTAACAGCAGAGTGGGAACAAAAGATGGCACATATTATAATACAATAGGAAAACATGGCGAAAAGATTAGGAATAATAATGGAGAAAGACTGCTTGATTTTTATGTGCTACATAACTTTATAGTAACTAATACATTTTTCGAACATAAATATACATGAGAGATGAAAAGCAGAAATGAAAAGTCGATAATAGATTATGTATTACTCGATGTATTTACTTAGTAGAAAAAGAATAAGAGAAAGACAATATTGGATACCAAGGTTAGAAGAGCGCCGGAAATAGGTAGTGACCACTTTTTACTTGTCACAAAAATTAGAGAGCCAGTAGAGAATACAAAACATGATTATCAAAAAATAAAAAAATAAATAATATGAATCAGTGAAATCATACAAACTACAAAATAAAGAAATAGCAGGAGAGATACAAAAAAACAGTAAAAGATATGGTAGCAGTGGCAAAACGAAACTAATGGGAAGAAGTTGGTGAAAAAATAGAAAGAGGTAGCAAATCAAATCAAAAACTATTCTACAAAACTTTGAAGTGGTTACGAAAAGAGAAAGTACAAGAAATAAGTTGGATAAAAAATAAAGACGGAGAGAGGCTAACAAATGAAAACGAAATAATGAATGGATGGAGAGAATATTTCCAGAAGTTACTAGGAGCCGATGGAATAGTACAAAGTGAAAACAAAGAAAATGATGCGATAGAAGATAATCAAGAAAATAAGGAAAATATAACCATAAACAAATTGCAGGAAATAATAAAGAAATTAAAGAATGAAAAATCACCTGGAACAGATAAATTAACAGCGGAAACGTTCAAGAATCTAGGAGATACAGGAATGGAAATACTAAGTACTAAGAATATTTAATAGAGCGTGGAAAAAAGAACAGTTACCGGAAGATTGGAAAACAGCTCTAATAGTTCCAATATTCAAAAACGGGGACAGGCATGATTGTAATAACTATAGAGGGATAAATCTACTTAGTACAGCAATGAAAATATATGAGAAAAATTATAGACAGAAAAATAAGGCATAGAATAGAGAATACCCTCGAAGAGTCACAAAGTGGGTTTAGAAAAGCTTGAAGCATACAGGATCACATATTCACAGTGAAACAAATAAATGAAAAGTTCTCACAGCAAGGAAAAGTAGTATAAGTATATGGGATTCATAGACCTTGAAAAGGCTTTCGATAAAGTTCAAAGAGAGAAGTTATGGAAAATATTGGAAGAGAGGGGGAGTTAATACTAAAATAATAAGAATAATTAAAAACATATACGAGAACAACATAAACTATGTAATATATAGAAATAAAATATCAGAAGCGTTTTCAACACAAGAAGGATTAAGGCAAGGAGGAGGACTAAGCCCATTATTATTTACGATCTTTATTGACGAAATAATCAAAAAATCTTCAAGCAGAATGACAAAATTACACGTGGGACACTGAAATCTATAAAGAGTAGATGTATCAGAGGGGGCTTCATCTGCAGATGATGTAATAATTATGGCAGAAAAAGAAAAAGGCTTACAAAAAAATATAGAAATTTTGGAATGCGGTTTGTGAAAAATTCGGAATGAGAGTAGGTACATAAACACAAAACTAAAGTTATGGCTATAGGAGAAAAACAAATGGATATACCTAAATGTACAAATAGATGGAATAAAACATCGAACAAGTAAAAATATTATTTAAGTATCTGGGAGTAGAAATAGAAGACAATGGCAGGCAAGAAATAGAATTTAACAATAGAGTAGAAAAAACAACAAATCTTTACTACATGATGAATTCGGCGTTTATAAATAAAAAAGAAATATCAAGGAAAACAAAGATAAATGTAGGTATTTAAAACAATATATCGACCAATTTTAACATTTGGATGTGAATCATGGGTGTTCACAAACAGACAAAAAATTAAAATACAGGCAGTTGAAATGAAGTATCTCTGACGAGTTAGAGGTGTCACAAAGATAGATAAACTGAGAAATACACAGATAAGAAAAGACCTTGACATAGAATCAACACTCAAGTTCATTGAAAAGCGACAATTAAGCTGGTGGGGGCATCTAGAAAGGATGAATGACATTAGACCAGTCAAAAGAGTACGGCAATTAAAGATAGAAAAAAGAAAGAAAAGAGGAAGACCAAGACAAACATGGGATAATAGAACTGAGGATATAAAGGGTGTCCGGAATAACTTGAATTAGGTACCTACATGCGGATTTTGGAAACCATTGGAGATACAAAGTCGAGGGGCAACTTGCTGCTGGAATTTTTGGTAAAGGCAAAGTGGAACTTTTGGCATTTTTGTCGAATTTTTGGGATTTTTTGTGGAATTTGTTGGAATTTATGGCATTTTTGTGAAATTCTTGGTATTTTTGTGGAATTTTTTGGAATTTTCGTGAATTTCCTGGCATTTTTTATAGATAATATGTACCTTCATGTTTGAGTGGCACAAAAAATCAAAGACTCAACGGAAATATAATCCTATATTTTTTATTTTTGTTGTTTCAGTAGAATAATATTTTACTTGAGATCTCACTGTTTGTATCAAAATAGGTAAAATATACTTTTTTCAATATCCTTCATAGTTTAATATAGGTAGGTTACCTACATAGCTACCACTAGATACCTACTAGGTACTAAAATGCCAGCTACACAAAACTTTTCCATTTTTTCATTTTTGGAATTTATTGGCATTTTTTGGAATTACTTGGCATTTTTTGGAATTGTTTGGAATATCTGGTATTAGTTGGTATTTTTTGGAATTAGGTGGAATTTTTTTGAAATTAGTGACATTTTTAGGAATGTATTTGCCCCTCGTACAAAGTGGACCAAGTGGGGAAAAAGCTGCACAATCAACTGCCTACAAATGATATTAATTGTCATCAACTTCTTTGAAATAGGAATAGCAACGGATATACAGGGTAAAAAAGAAAGAAGTGTGTTTTAAAAAATCCTTGTATTGTACATTACATCCAGTCCTACACATACATACCTACCCTGGAAATTTCTGGACTGTATCTATTATAATGAACAAGATATGTGTTATGAAGCGCACTTTTTTCTTTATTGCCCTTATCCATTGTTATTCCAAGTTCATAGAAGTTGATGACAGATTATTTGTAGGCACTTGATTGCGCAACTTTTTCCCCATTTGGTCCACCCTGTATCTGCAATATGGTTTCCGAAATCCCCCCTACTTCAAGTTATTCCCTACACCCTGTATATTAAATTATGTGAGATTTACGTAAATTAAAGTCACATTTTTAAAACATTTATTAGATACTTATTAAGTTTTTTTTTTAATAGGTATTGTATAGCTTTATTGTTTATATTACATAACTCAGATACTAAAAAATAATATTTATGTGCAATTTACTGAGGGCCAAATTATGGACCGACTGGTAACATCTAACATCATTGGCAAATTTATCCTGCTGGTAAAACTAAAAATTCAAGAAGAGAAGCTATCAAACTTTGGAGAAAACAGAAATTAGGGCAAATGATATAAGTGGGAACCTACTTATAATGATACATAAGATAATATGAGTTTTAAATTAAAATACAAAAATAATTATGCAAAATCATTTTTGAAATTATTTTCCCTCCAAAAAAATTGAGGTCAAAATATTATGGTTGTTATTGCGAAAATAATTAATTTCCAAAAAGCTGGACCAAATTAGGCGCCATTTTTGGCTTTAATAAGCAGCTGCAAGGGTATCGACCGCTATGCAGAGCTTTTTATCCTCGTTAATTGCAAATTATCTAAGAAACAATTAATAAATTTCGAGCCATATTTAACTGAATTTTGGATTGAAGCATTTCATTTTCGGATTGTAGGGGGCATTTCGCTACAGAAATTTCAAGAAATTAGCACCTATGGCGCTGCCATCAATATAATATCAAAATGGAGTTTCAACGTAGGTACCCTCTCCCAAATTTACCGTTTATAAGCCTTTCTACGCCGTTTTATTGACCCAATTGCACCCAGAACCGATCCACGAAGATCACTCAACCCATTGAAAGCAAAATGCAACCTCAGAACACTTTATTAAACACTAAAATGCAAATTTTATCAACTCACCTTTTTAACTCCGAAAATGTCCTGTGAGGGCGTAGTTCACGGGAAGCGTCTATTTTTGGGAACCCAGAGATGGCGAGGCCAGCGCGTCGGTCCATTCACCGTCCAATTCGAGCTAAACGCAACGCAACCCGTTGTCTGCGCATGCACTTCAATATAATGACGTTTCACAACTGATCTCACAAAGTGATATCTGTCTTTGTTCAGTACATAGGAAATGATAGTGGCGCAAATACACCAATGAAAAAAAAGAAAACGCCTAACCTTGTCCGCAGTTGTATTCCTTTCACACCTAGGTGGAGCTCTGGAACAGCTCCGGGGCGTTACGCGCTTATTCCTTTCGAAAAGTTTTTGGCTGAGTTCGGCTTTGCACTCCACGGAGTGGAACGGTATGAGCAAGGATATCGCGACGTCATACGCGGTCATAAGCCCAACGCAAAAGAGAATACTCTGAGCCTTAGAGCAGGAAAGGTAAAGGAGTGATAACCTGGATTTGGAAAAATGAAGCCGTTTTTTTCCAGGTATTTTGGCCCTCAAAAAATGACGGTTGTGGCAATTCAATGCTTTACCTGTATTTTGGTGCCAAACACCTGCCAAAAACTTGCTTCACTTTAGTTTCATACAGCGTTGCCAACTTAGCGGATTTCCCGTCATATCTAACGGATTTTGGTGGAGGGAAACGGAAAACAAACAGTTTCAACGGATGACGGATTTTTTAACGGGAACAAAGTTTCCGTTTAAAAATTCTAAATTATGTTCTGTAAATGTAATAAACTGGTTGTTTAGCGATGCAAGCTACTTTTGGTCTGTAAACAAGCCTTTACGGAAACGTTGATCCGACTAGCCCGATCACCAGCTGATATTATCTGTCTTTTTTCAATGGTGTTCATTGAAAAAAGATAAAATACAAACACCTGAGGCGTTTTCTCGCATCCTCTTTTTTAAAACTGTTTCAAGACTATTTTGAAACAGTACATTCTCGCGATAAACCCATGACATCACGTCAAAATTGGTTCAAATTGTTTCGAAATGCAATCTAATCCACATTTTCAAACCATTTTCTCACGCCGAGAAATTATGACGTCATGGTGACATTACTCAAACCAGTTTTGAAAAATGTTATGAAACATTTGAGACGCAAGAAAATGCCCCTGGGTGATCGGGAGAAACCTTGGGGTGAAACGGATTAGTGTTTCTAAAAACGCCTAAAATCAAATGGCACTGCCGTCAATGTCGTTAACTCTGCATTATTTGGTTGGCACTACTGAATAAATTTTATTTGTTTAGCGCATTTCGCATGTTTCATTCTGACGGATTTTATTGACGGAAAAAAAATGGTTTAACAAATTTTTGACGGAAATCTACAGCAAAGTTGACGGAATTAAAAAAATACTGTTGGCAACACTGGTTTCATAAGCAGAATGGCGCGTGCCTACTCCTTATGTCCGTAGGACAGCGCTTTACCTGCTCTAAGCTCTGAGCGCTAAAACGAACAGGATCTTTTTCGTTTAGAGCGCGCTCAGAGTTTACAGAGGCCGAGTTCGTTTTTGTCATCTTTTTCGTCGATTTGTTCCGAAATTTTGACAAGCGCGTGATTTGTAAATTGAAACTTCTATCCAGTCACGTGCCTGTCAAAATTTCGGAGCAAATCGACGAAAAAGATAACAAAAACGAACTCGGCCAGAGTGTAAAGCCGAACTCAGCCTTTGTTGTACCTCGCATCTCTCTATTTCAAATCGGAGTCGACTAACACCAGAGCGAGTAGCTCGAGTGTTCCAAACTTTTGAAACGATAGTTGTATACAACTAAAATCAAACAATTACGCCGGTCGAATGCACCAATATCGATACTGTCCAAGTTCATCGAGTGTCCAGAGTGTCCATGCGATATATTTCTGATTTTTTGTTTTGATTTAAAGAATAAGCTCCTTTTTGCATGTCCAGGCTTAGTGAAGTACTACACGTTTAACGAACGATGTTCGATAAGTATTCAATTTTGTAAGATCCTTATCAATCGATACATATCGATATGACAAATTCGAGTATCGATAAGCCGTCCTACTTGGTAAGTTTACTAAATTAACTGTTATTAAAAATTATTGAACAAAGAAATTAAAACACTCTTACATCGATTCATTAGAATATATTGTTTTCACTTAAAATCTACAACAATAAATAACTTTGTTTAACGTCTTTTTACAGAGCTAGGTATATAGTTTTGATTTCAAAAGAAATGTAATAAGGACCATATATTATAGATATAAAAAACTGTATTTTATACAAAAGCAGCTGATAATAAAGATATATAATAATTTTTCAAAATAGAAAACAAACAAATAACTGAAATACATAATATAATGGGAAGATTTATATGCATATTTACAATAATTAGAACAGTTTAGTATTTACAATTTAAAGTGAAATGCAATTCAATAGTTCTTTTTAGACATAAAATTAAGGATTCAACTTGCTTTATATTTTTATTGTGATATACCTAACTTTATGAGCATCGAGCACTTATTTTGCACACAAGCATTCACAACTTTCTGAGAAAATAGTTTGTAGTTTTTCCAACAACTTCTTTAATATTACTGTGGTTCACTAAAAAAGAAGTCTTCCAGTTTTGGTTATACTTCACTTTGCATACAGTGTAGACCAGATTCTTGTGAAAGGTCATCTAATGAAGAATCTAAAATAAAAAAGATGAAATTAGGTATCGCTTTTAAGTTTTTCTAAACAAAATTCGCGGGTATTTTCTGGTTGCCTAGTAAATAGGCGTTTTCGTGCAACGCACTGCTATACCGTGGTTATTATTGCAACCGAACTGGTAAGAGCGTTTAGAGCTGCACTGTTTAACCAAGTTTGGAAAAAATACATTTAATTCATGCCCGATTGCACCGTCTCTCTTAACCGAGGCTTAGAGATAACTATTCCTTAAAGTGACATTTTCCCATGCAAAACTGTCAATTTAAGGGATAGTTATCGTTAAGCCTTAGTTAAGAGAGATAGTGCAATCGGGCATCAATGAACTATAGTCAAAAACTGGAATGCGCACACATTGCTATACCTGCCAAAAAAATGTAGCCATGAAAGACAGATGCCACAAAGGGGAATGTTGTTTTTTTCTGTTGCTCGCTGACATATGACGTTTTGGAAAGTTTTATTTACCTTCACAGGTTTCATCAATTGGAATACGTGTTGGAAGCAATTTCCGCCATTTAACATATTGAGTGCGACAAAAACAGGTATCCCTTCCGCAGCAGCCGCACTAGGCCCCACGTTCGCCATATGTGTTCGCATTCCAGTTTTTGGTTATAGTTCATTGATTTAATTATTCTTACGAGCAAGCAGAGCAGAAAATGGACTTTTACGCACGCAAATAGATATAAAAATCTCTCTTCACTAGTCAAAATTTTCACACACTTTATTCCAAAACGCATCTTCCTAAATTATTGGGTCATTGTTATTAGGTTAAGAAGTTTTTTTTCTTTCTCTCTACTGACTGCACCTTATGACTCCAACCCTTTTATTTTTTTACACTATTTCAAAGATATTACACACTACTGCAGGATTGCACCTTGGCCTCGATTTTTGGAATCAAGGTCATATGGTGTTGCATCGTTGTTCTTGTCATCAACAGTGTCGTTAGCTGTTGGCGCCACATTTATGATGAAAAATATTATTCGATTTTGATTAACATATTAGACGAAGAGGAAGATGTAAACGAGCTCTAAATGTACCATCGTCACCAGAGTTACTGATTACTGGGACAGCATCATATTCGGGGTATTCTTATTCCGATCTGAACAAACTAATCGAAATCACTTTAGGTTTGTTTCCAACAATTGTCATCCGGTTTTACAACGATTTTCATTGGCCCTACGGTCTACTGTTTTTTTGACGTCTCATAAACAAATCTTATGTGATGACAATCGGTTTGCTCAGATCGAAAGAATACCTATATTACCTCTTGTACTATTATATGATTTTTCGAAGCCAGCAGAATCATAAGCTATACTAGTGCGAACACCCCAAGAATATTACATACTACTACAAGATTGCTCATCGGCCTGGATTTTTGGAATCAAGGTCATATGGTCTTGCACCGTTGCCGACGTCATCAACAGTGTCGTTAGCTGTTGGCGCCAGCGGTCGTAGTTTAGAATATACATTTAAAATAAAAAATATTATTTAATTTTGATTAGCCTAATAGGCAAAAGAGAAGATGCATACGAAATCTAAAAAAGGGTTGTTTTAGAATGTTAATTAATGTACTGAAACCAAGTTTGCATATAGCAAAAGCCAGCGGAATCAATGAATCATAGCTTGTTGTGGTGGCAAACACCCTACATCAAGGCGAGAAACGACACGTTGCCTACGTCATCAGTGGTACTCTGGTGTAGTGGGGGGCTTGAGATAAGAGTCGTTTTCTCGCATCCACTTTTTTGACATTGGTTCAAAACAGGTATAACCGAATTTTCGCGACGAACTACTTCCACAATTTCATAAACATAAACCGAATTTTCGCGACGAACTACTTCCATGATTTGATGAACACAAACGCTTTTGCGAGAAACTCATGACGTCATATTGAACGTAGTTCGTCGTAAGCATGGACGCAGCTTCTAGTCAGCGTTCAAACTCATGACGTCACAAGACGAACTATAGTTCGTCCTTGAATGAACTATATTCGTCGCGAAAATTCGGTTATAGACTCTCGCGAGAAACTCATGACGTCATCTGGAACTTAGTTCGCCGGAAGCATGGACGATTCGACACTGTTTTGAAAAAAGTGGACGTGAGAAAACGGTTTTGATCTACACGGTCTTATAGGGATACTGTTTGTTTCACGAGTGTTTGTACTTACGCCTCCCTTTTTTAACAAATAAAAATTGGGTGAAATAAATTAATACCGTCAAAACGTTCGTCGGGTCTTAAAATCAGAAGTTTTTCAATCAATTTGTCAAAAAAATTGATGAAAATTACAATACAAAATCTGAACGCTATTGAATTTAGGCCCTTACGGAAACATGATCTGATTTACTCGATCACTAGCTGTTTGTTTTTTATCTTTCTTTGATAAACACGATTGAAAAAAGACAAATTACATCAACTGGTGATCGAGTTAATCCGATCAGTGTTTCGGTTCGGTGAATAATAAATCTACGACAAACCTTTTTTTCCAAGTTATAACATCATCGATGTCATAAGTACAAACCTTTGTGAAATGTACTTTAGGCTATTCTGTGTAGTGTGTAAAATCCTTGGTTTAGATCAAGGGTTTTATGCCTCATTTCTCACTTGCGCGAAATTCGCTCTTTTTTGACATTGCTTAGACAATTTGACGTTTGATTCACGCATAAAACGTCAAATTGTCGAAGCAATGTCAAAAAATTAGCGAATTTCGTGCAAAAAGAGCGAATTACGCACAACTGAGGGCGGCTTCTCATGAGCGTAATTTCACATTTATGGCGTGACAGTGTACCTGAATGCAGAATTCTGATTGGCCAAAATCCCGCCATATTGGATACGCTGACACTCTGCGGCAGATACGCCAAAAGTTGAGCAAAGTTCAACTTTTCGCGTAAAAATTCAGCGTTTTTTGAGGTTAAGGTTGCAACCGTTTCGTTTTCTTGATTTTTGTGATTTACTGTCTATATTTGTAGGCAGGGACCCGGACCGAAATGAAATATCAGTTCCGTTCCGGTTCCGGTCCACAGCGTCATGACGAATATCGGTTCCGTTACGGTTTCGGTTCTAAGAGAAATATTTCGGTTCGGACCAATAATTTCGGTTTTAACGGTTCATACCGGTATAGTTTTTCACAAATATCTAATGGCCATTTGCACTGACCATTTCAAGAAGCATCCCTTAAAACGGTCATTACAGAAAAATTTATGTTTCTATAATTTGTGGTTTATTTTTTTTGGATTTCTCTGCCTATCTGCAACAACTTTAATAATCATAATAATAACTATTAATAAAATAAATTTTTGTGTTTTCGATCAGTGATGACGTAACAGCGTGTTGTTTCTCGCCTTGACGTAGTGCTTGCACCAGTTGCACCACGGATTAGGAGGTGTTTTCTCGCGTCTCAAAGTTTTGAAACATTTTCCAAAACTGGTTTAAATCAGTTTCACAATGACGTCATAATTTCTCGGCACGAGGAAATGGTTTTAAAACGTGGATTGGATTTGTATTTCGAAACGGTTTAGAACCATAGTACATTATTTAATATTCTAAAACAACCCTTGTTTTAGATCTCCATTTGCATCTTCCTCTTGTCTATTGACTATTATGCTAATCAAATTTAAATTATATTTTTCATCATACATGAATATTCTTAACTTCGACCGCAAACCGCTAACGAGACCGTTGATGACGTCGGCAACGGTTCAACAACATATGAACTTGATTCCAAAAATCGGAGCCGCTGAGCAATCCTGTAGTAGTATGTAAAATCCTTGGTGTGTAGCCTAGCCGAGTTCAGAAATGCGCGCTGTCCAATGTCCAACGCTCTGTTTTTTAAAGTGTTAATTTTATTAGGATACAACCAAACAGCAAACAGCTTAATTTATAAAATCTTGGAACCGAAAAATACCGGTAAGAACCGATTAATTTATATCGGTTCCGGTTCTGCCTGCCCTACAACATTCCTATGAAATATGGGTTTCGTTCCGGTTCCGGTCCGCAAAAAAAAAACGGTTTCGTTCCGGTTTTCGGTCCAATATCGTTCCGGTCCGGGTCCCTGTTTGTAGGTATTTGGAACTAAAGCAAAAACAAATACAAATTTGTACAATCAAAATTCAAAGAAATATTTCAAAATTTAGGAAAAAAATATAATTTTGACATACGCGGCGGCGTAAATTCTTCACTCTATATTGTCGATTAAAGGCGATTAACCAGTCGGTTATATTGACAGATAAACGATGCATTTAACGTCATTTATAACCGATTGGTTGACAAATGACGTTTGCTTCATTGATTATCTGTCAACTATGACCGACTGGTTAATCGCCTTTAATCGATGCATGTGAATGTTGCGCCAAAATTTACGTATTCAGCATTTGCGCCAGTTATGTCAAGTTTACGCTCATGAGAAGCCGGCCTGAGAATCAAGCAATAAAAAGAAGGAGGTTGCCTGATAACTTTTGTGACGGCTTTATATGCCTAAATATTAGGCAAATCCAAGGCAAATCTCCATTTAGAATCACCTGATGACGTCATCTGTTTGCCATTACCAGGCAGCCTTTAACAAGCAATTAAAATTTTGCCAATGATATCGGCAACGTCTCTGAAATTTGGTTCTAGGCAGGGACCCGGACCGGAACGATATTGAACCGAAAACCGGAACGGAAACGTTTGTCTTGCGGACCGGAACCGGAACGAAAATCATATTTCATAGAAATGCTGTAACTTGTAAGGCAGGCAGTACCGGAATCGATATAAATTAATCGGTTCTTACCGGTATTTTTCGGTTCCATAAATTAGGCTGTTTGGTCGAGCTTTGAAAAGTGCGTATTTCTGAACTCAGAGCTGCTTTCCAGTATGCACATTAGCGCGCTCTAGAGCACCCCGAGAGCGCCACGCACTAGATTTGTACCGTTCCAGTATCATGACGTAAGACGTTTGTCCCTACGTATACCTCGGGAGCTCAACCTTCCGAGTAGCTCCGAGCTTCACACTCTGATACTGAAAAGCGGCTCAGATAGGCTAGACCAAGGATATTACACACTACTACAACTACAGTGCTCATCGTCCTCGATTTTTAGAAACAAGTTCATATGGCGTTGCACTGTTGGCAACGTCATCAACGGTCTCATTAGCGGTTTGCGCCAGCGTTCGTAGCAAAGGATATACATTTATGATGAAAAATATGATTTGATTTTGATTAACATATTAGGCAAAAGGAAGATGCAAATGAGATCTGAAGAAGGGTTATTTTAGAATTTTACATTAAGCGTCATCCCTGGTACTTTTGCGTGGTGGGGGTATTTAAATTTTCATTAATTAACTAAGCGAAAATACAAACATTATTAAAGTTGTTGCAGATAGGCAGAAAAATCCAATAAAAAATAAACCAGAAATTACAGAAACATAAATTTTTCTGAATCGAAATATTTCTCTAGAACTGGAACGAAACCGATATTTGTAATGACGCTGTGGACCGGAACCGATATTTTATTTCGATTCAGGGCTGGGATCACGATAAGTAAAATACTACTTTCATGACGTCACCCGCGACCTATTTATCGTGTACACTTGTCCAAACATAAAACTGGTACAGTCAATATATATTTTTCAAATTTGCCTAGTGTGAGTCAGGCTTAACAAGAAAAAGTCTCTCCTGAAAAACTCAGGAGACAGTTTTTGTCAAAGTCAAAGCTTGACAAAAGGAAATGCAACATGTTTTTATGTTATGCTTGGTTTAAATATGACACTGACTTGACTCTTTTTGTCATTGTTGAGGTGATAAAAAAAGGTCGATTTACACAATACAACCAGCGAAACTTGACTTCATAAAATTCTAGTAGAATTCTACTCGTCGTGATCCCAGCCCTGGTACCTGGTTCTAGGGGGAGTCTCAAAAACACTTTATGGTCGTTTGCACCAACCATTTTAAGGAAACCTTAACGATAAGTATTCCTCAAAGTGACATTTTCCCATGAAAAAATGTCATTGTAAGAAATATTTTTTATCGTTGAGGCTGCCATGGAATGGTTGGTGCAAACGGCCATTAACCTGCTTACTGAGTGTCTGCCATGTCAGCCGCAGAATTCAACTCTTGGCGTAAAATGCATTATCCGAGTTTAAAACACAAGTAATCCATCGAGGTCTGCGGGTGACGTCACCGCTATTAGGTGGGAGCCAATTCTTGATAAATATCGCATTCGAAATTTGATATTATTTGGAAGGCTTCTCATTTAATTTACATTGCTGTCAGTCAAATTTCAAGAAAATTTTGTATGCGATATATCGGGCCACTGCTGATGGTAGTGACGTCATTCGCAGACCAGCTGCCTGTCGACTCGAGACTTGGCGAACGTACGCCTTATTAAGATGAGCGATCCTGGCAATCAGAGACGTGATGATTAATAAAATCTCTTGCAAAATCCATCGAAAGTAGGCTTAAAATGCGCGTTTAACAAAAAAACAACCTAAACTGAAGCTTATGAACAAGGAAAACCTCAATTTAGGTGTGAAAGTGCATTTTCTAGACTTTTTTCACTTCTTCTCAATCAAAATTTATCCAAAGTAGGGATAAAATGCGTGAAACTAGTTTATCCTAAAGTAGGTGCTCTTCATTCGCTGAAGAACTTTCCTAGATCTGATGAAAAACTGGTAATAATCCAAATTTGGTCTATTACCACTTCTATTACCGGCGCTTGATTCAAATTTTGTTTTGATTATACGTGCCGAAAAACATCCAACGAATCATAGATTATCCCTCTGCGAATCAAAAGCCGGTAATAGTGCGGTCGTATATACCAATGAAACATCAAATATGCAACATGCAACTTGCGACATGAAGTAAATACTGCAGATAGACTGGTGCCGCATATATCCAATGTTAAAACGTACAATGTCTCAGGATCATCGTACACTGGTACAGCAAACGCGTCTACTGCTCTGGTGTACTGTACGATTATCCCGAGACATTGTATGTTTTTACAATGGATATATGCGGTACAAGTCTACCCGCGGTATTTACTTCATGTCGCACGTTGCATGTTTGATGTTTCATTGGTGTACGGCCGCAGTAAGATTCAACGAAAATTAGTCAGCGAATCAAGAGCCGGTAATAATCAAAATTTGGATGTTGATGAAGAGGTCGAAGAAAAAGTCCAAGTGCTTCGACCTTGCATAACAGCAATAAATTGCAAAAGATCGCGTATATTTAAAATCGGTGTCAAAAGATTGACATCAAAATTTGAATGGGCAAGCAATAAATTAATGAGGCAGGTAGAAGAGTCGTATTAACATTTTCACACCTCATAAACAAATTTAATCCGATTAGTGCGGCCTGACTTATATTTTTTGATAATTTATTGTTGTTTTACAAATATTATATGCAAAATTTTACCTGGCTGAGAGAAAATACTATTCTTGTTCTGCTGTTGAAATGAATAGGTAAGGTGAAGGTTTATGTGTCTACCAAAACCGTTTTCCTCTCGGCTGCCGTTGTGGACTGTAACATTCAAACCAATTAGTTATTAAGTTGCGGAACTCATTAATATTAATTCTTACTTTGATTTTTTGCTTTGCCCGTATGCATGTGCTTTTTCTGACGCGCCCTGGAATTCTGGAACCACACCTGCGTCACCCGTTTGCTCAGCCCCGTTATCTGAGCGATCCGCTCCAGATCTTGCCCGTCCGGATTCGAGTCCAGCTGAAAATTCGCCTGTAGTACTTGCAGCTGTTCCTCGGTGAAAGTGGTACGCACCCGCTTCGCTTTGTTCTTGTGGTAGCCGTCAGCATCGCATCCGTCTACATCCAAATCAAATAAAAAAAATATTTTTCCGTTTTGGTTTTGTTTTGGAAAATAATATTTACCATCAGATGAAGTGGTACCGCCGTCGAGGGTTTCTAAATAGTGAGCTTTGCAGAGGACTCGGTCTTCGTGTAGGGCGAATTCTTCGCCGGTTGATAGTTGACGGTGACAGGCTGCGCACGCGAAACATGCTAAGTGGTAGACGTGGTCGCGTGCTTTACGTACCCAATCGCTTGACGAGATTCCGCGTAGACATACTGAGCATTTGGCGCCGAAACTTCTGGAACAAGAAGGGAGTGAGAACATTTTGAACAGAAGAATCTTTTGGAGAAATAATGTTCTGACAGAAGCTGATGGATCAATTGTATTGGTAACTAACATTATACCTCATTACCAAGCGCTTACTTAATGGACACCTACCTTACTATTCCTTCTATTTCGCTTTCGTAGATTATGAGAAGGTATTCGATAGCAGTGATCTATATATGGATTTACGACAGGAACAGCTTATTCATACCATCTACAGAAATGTCACATTGACGATACTGCTAGAAGAGGACACTTATCATTTCAATTTCTATGGAGAGGATTCAGACACAAAATTAAACTTGACTAGACAGAATCTCTCTTTGAAAAAAGTCAGCAAATCTTGAAATTCGATAAAAGCAACTAAACAGCGGAAATTGAACGAAGCCAGGTTTTGGTAAGCATTTATTGGTTCTTATAAGAACCGGAAGATTTCACTCTACTTGGAAAGCAGATTTTCATTGCTTCGCTTTGTCTGTCTCTGTTAAACATACACTCTTCTTAGGGTGGGTATTATAAAATTACTTTGACAGATAACTAAAAGTTTACTGAATTACTATGAGAAGTAACGTCATTCCAGAAGTTAACTTTTAGGGCCGTTTGCAACAACCATTTCAAGAAAGCCTTAACCATAGGTATTTCTTAAAGTGGCATATTCCCATGTGAAAATGTCATCCAGACGCAATGTCGACCGAGAGCAACTAAATTGAGTGAAAGATTAAACAGTAAAACTCACTTGCTTATCATATCGACATTACTCAGTGCTGAATTTATAGTCGCTCCTTGAGGTTTCCTCAGATCTTAAGGCAGCCTTGAACGTTTAGAATTGACATGAGCAACTTATCAAATAGTAACAAAGTGTCCTTTCTAAACTCACGACCTAACATTTAACCCTAACCCTGAAACAATAGACGAAGGAGTATGTGAATCCAAGGAAGATCAATATAAGTAACGAGGAAATCACGTCAATCAAGCAAAATAAGTTGATTGAAACCAAATTTTTCTAGTAAATAATAAATTACTATTCTCAAATTCGAATACAAAACAGACATGGGAACGAGAAACAAGGTCAAACAAGATGTATGCATTTTTACCTTGAAAGAAGTAGTACCATCGAAAAAGATTGATGTACTCGAGTGGTACCACTGACACATAATACTAAAGATGTATAGGATATACGTAATAATCTCTGCTATGATTATATGTACGCAATCACTTTTCAAAATTCGAACAATAACTAGTATTGATAATAAATGTATGTGAAGGCTATGGAAGTTAGGTACCGTTCACTAAGTATAATATTCGCTAAAAGACAACCTCAATACATTATGAAAAAACATGACCCGATCAAGCATTGCTCCCCAATTAAAAATCACCCACCCGAATCTTTAATTAAGCGAAAAAAAAAAAAGGTAGCCCAGAGGGCTTCCGACACCCAGTTATTTGGGTACCCGAGAACATTCCAAATTGAAGTTCGGTGTAACCGGTGGCTGGGCTGTCGTGTACTTTGGGTTCCTTCGGAATAAAAATTACTAAATTAGGCCTCTCATTAAAAGATACAACACGCGATTGCGTAGGCAAGAGAAGTACCCCGATTGCTTACCATCGGTCCCCAGCGAGATTTATGGCTTGTAAAGTTTTAATTTATTCTTTAAGGGTATTTTACGGTTGAATTTTCACTTGTTTGCGCGAATAAAAGCTTTAATTGAATAAGCAGAAGCGAAGGTAACAGTCCGGAAACAAAAAAAATATTATGACCGATGATAATATCACACGGAAAAATTCAGCCGGTCGATTACGAGATATTTAAAGCTAAGACAAAAGAGTATCCATATCATCCTGTCGGATCTCTTTTTGACTGGTTAGACATTTGTTGCAGAACGTCGATGACTTGCGTGAATTTCCGTGGCGGTCTTTTTGAACCTGGTCGGACCTCCATCGAGCCTTCTTTTCTGTTTGTTCACAAGAACAATCGCGCGATGTACGCATGAGAGACCATATTTTTTTTCTGATCAAATACAAACCAGCCATGAATAAATGTGATCAATCATAATATGTTCGTTTTTGTTGCGCTATGGTATGATTTGTATGATCTCTGTGATCTTTAGGTCAATAATTCTGGAAAATGTTTTGATATAACTGATTCTTATAATAAATGTTCAGCAATCTGGAAACAAGGTTGCATTTCAGCCTCTAAGTTTTTTCAAATATTAACCTATCCAGGCTATCCATACTAGATCGCATAACACAGCTATTGGAAAACCTAATAGGGCAAACACTAACATCTTTTATCTCATTTTTGAAAACTGATGAGCACATTTTTCCTCCCTCAGATGACAGAAAGAAAGGTACCACCTTATGATTTAGATTTTGGAAAACTGAATTTTATCCCAAGGACTACAATCCCTGAAAATTTTAGCTCATTTGCACTTATAGTTCCTGAGATAAAATCGTGTGAAGCAATTTGGGGTGATTTATCACTTTTTCAATTTTTCTGAGTGCCTTTTTTCATAGATTTCGGCTTCCAATCTGAGAATAATTTAGTGTATGGAGTATGGGGGATGTTGATTGACTATTAGGATACAAAATCTTGCCAAAAAAAAAAATTAAATTTAATCGTTTTAATAAGAAGGTACCTACCTTATGATTTAGATTTTGGAAAACTTTGAAAGGTCATAACTTTTTTTTGTATTATAGATAGAAAGCTGAAACTTTCACTGAATTTTATCCCAATTAAAGGACTACAATCCCTGAAAATTTCAACTCATTTGCACTTATAGTTCCTGAGATAAAATCGTGTTAAGCAATTTGGGGTGATTTATCAATTTTCCAATTTTTCTGAGTGCCTTTTTTCATAGATTTCGACTTCAAATCTGAGAATAATTTATTGTATGGAATCTGGGGAATATTGCAGAGGAAATGGTTATGAAATTTTGTACGGACAAAATGGACTGCTTCATCTGCAAGAAGGCTGGAGATGTTAAAAATAGTGTACCTAGACATCAGGATGGTAGATACACATAACAATACATAAACTAGTGAAAATAACACACCACTCCTTCCCAAAGTTCCAGTAGATGATCCAACGACACCTGCATAAGATAGCAAAAATCCTGAAAACCTTACATAGATACCTACACCAAAAGAATCCCTAAAAACTTGCTTCAAGGATGGGAAAATTACCACTGGGTTCGAATTTATTTAATCCTTGCATCTCCTCGATTAGGAATCAGAGACGATTAGGAAGAAATATATTTTCAATCATGGTTCAATACCGGATATTTTTGAAATTACATTCAATTTATGAGTTTTGTTTATTTCGAATGGAAACTGTTACAAAACTACCGTTATTGTGAGTAATTCTTCTCGATTTTCATTTCGCATATTGCCATAAGTCAATCTTCTCGTAGTAAATTAGCGATAAATTAATTTATTGTGCGACTAATAGGAAATTAATTTGTATTTGTTAATTCGAGATTGGAAATCTAATATAGATTTGTTATGACCATAGGAATTCATGTTAAGTGAAATCTAGTGACATTTTTGAATTTATCCTCTAGGATGGGGCAGTTTATTCAGCAGAAATTTAAACACAAGATTAAACTTTCTCAATGAAAAAAAAAAGCATACACAATCGATTAAACACCCAAGAATTTTTCCTATATTATTATACTTGATACCACACACAAAACTTCACATAACACACGTAAAAGGTATTGTTCGGAGATGACTGAGCCATTCTCGATTTCCATTTGTCATTCTCGGCAGAGACAACGCAATGACATTTCAACCGCATCATCTTCCGAAGATTATTCAGCCACAATGTTTATCTTTATTCCTAGATAAGACACGGTTCCCAGAATACTCAGGAGGATTCTCTATAATCCATCAGATTTTTTTTTCAATTAAATACGATAAAGTCAACTGACGAAGAAAATCCAGTTGCTTTTATACAATTATTTATATCTACATATTAATAAGCTTAATTAGAACGATAAATGGATGACAATTTTTGCATTCAAAATGAAGAAGTTGCCGTATTAATTATTTAAATTAAATATACAGGTCTAGGGGGTTGTATTTAAGGAGATACTTACTTTGCATAGTCCGCTCGACAATATATTGCCCTGTCCCGTATAAAGCAAGATGGTTGCCGGTCGAGTTGCAACTGGCATACGCAGCAACGTAAACAGCTCGAGTGCCAGTTTCTTCCGGAAACTTCCAGCAAAAATTTGTCACTGATTGGATCTCCGCATGCGGAACACAGCCGGTATTCAGTCTGAAAAGAAATTTGACACAATTAATATCTGGAAGAACAATTATAACGGAACTACTTCAATATTGTACTATAATATAACTAATTTGTAGATTGTAATATTGTTTGAAAGGAGATGGTAGCAGAAGCGTCCTCTACCACTGCAACCTTGTCAGATTTATTGTAGTGTCTGCTATCTGTCTTCCAGAGACCCCAGAGCCTTACTAACCAATCTATATAACTTGCCGGAAGTCTCGCAAACCTAAAGCCTGTATAGTGCTAGAACCTGCTTATTCTTTTGGTTATGTAGTTGAATTTGTGCACGTGAAGAATGGTAGATGTAAAGTCCGACAAATACCATTTTAAAGTCACGTGATATTGGTGGCAAAAAACGTATGTTCATTGATTATGTCGTTGATATCACCTACAAAAAGCTACTGGTGGTTAATTATTATTGAATTTTAAGATATGTTCCCACTAGCATTTTACAAACGCGTTTCTGAAGCAGTATTGACCAATCAGATGGGAATTTTAATTGTCGCGAGACTCATTTTTGTCGCAACTGCTGTCCGTTGTAATACATTCTGAACTTGAATTGGGTACCCGTTTTCTATTTGCTTCTTTTTGAGTTGAAAAAAGGTTAATATAGTCAAAATTATTAGCTGTATTTGTTCGTTGTATCATTTTCGAAAAAAACTTTGACAAACTAATTGATGACAGTGACGGATTCTATTTCAGGTAAAAATATTATGAACAATAATTAGACACGAATTTTTTTGTCAATTTTACTATCACCGCTGTTTGAGATGTATTCAACAAGGATAGAGAAAAATCACGTTATTGTGTTGTCTGAACACAATATTTCAAATGAGAAAATACTTCTCTGGAAGAATTAGGAGCAATTCAGTTAATAACTTTTTAATAATAATAATAAACAAAAACGAAATTATTTATCTCCACAACCTTGCCTAACAACTAACCAAAGCTAACTACACACAAAAAAATAAACAATAATAAAAACACAAAGGTAAAAACACAAAGGTAAAAACATAAAGGTAAAAATACAATAGTAAAAACACAAAGGTCACTACATAACCTTCCTCCAGAAGTATTCTACTTCGAAATTTTAAATCTCACTTTTTTTATTTTTTTATTTATTTCTTGTTTCACTGGTGCAGATTTTTTCACCTTCAATACTGATTCCAAAGAATTATCCAACAAACATGTATCCATAAACGCTGGTTTAATACGATCAATTGATACATTATAGGGTTTTCCGTTTAAATCTATTTTAAAAAATTTATTTGATTTCTCCAAAACTTTAAATGGACCATTATAGGAAAACGATAAAGGTTTCTTATGAGAATCGATCTTAACGAAAACATGCGATGAATCAAACAAATTTTTGTTAATGAAAAACTTTCTTTGTTTAAAATTTGAGGTTGCTGGTTTTAAGTTTTGCATAAATTCTTTAAGTTTTATAACAAAGTCAGAAGAAGTTTGGCTTTCAGAAGTAGAATTCTCAAAAAATTCTCCAGGAATACGTAAAGTAGTCCCATAAACCATTTCCGCAGCACTACATTGGATAGAATCCTTAAAGCAAGTTCTCAGCCCAAGCATGACTATGGGAAGCGAATCAACCCAATGAATACCATCAACCGCCGTCAAAGCACTTTTGAGACTTCGATGAAATCGCTCAATAACACCATTAGAAATAGGATGATAAGCTGTTGTTTTAATGTGATGAGTGCCGAGAATTAACATTAATTCTTTAAATAATTTTGACTCAAATTGAGATCCTCTATCAGATGTAATAAAAGTTGGTATACCAAATCTACTTATCCACTGAGAAACTAAAGCTTCAGCAACCGTAGAACTATTAATATCTTTAACAGGAATTACTTCAGGCCACCTAGTATACCGATCTATACAAGTAACAAGATACTTACCTTGCGTTCGGTATTTTGCTCAAAGTGTAGAGCGAGCTGAGCGGAGCCGTAATCACGTGACCAGCGAGCGAACGGAGCAGTTGAACGCTGTAGAAAAGTACCGGAAATTTTAATAAACGAACGCGAATGAGGCTGCACCGAGTACACTTTTTAAATAAACGAACGGTAAAGTCAAGCTCGGAGAACTCAGACCAAAATAACGAACGCACGGTTAAAACCTTTAGAACAGGGCAAAGGACCCACAATATCGATATGTAAGTGACTGAATCTGTCTTTAGGAGTCTCAAATTGTGACAAAGGACTTACCGTATGTCTAATTATTTTAGACCTTTGACAACTTACACATTCTTTTGTCCACCTCTTAATATCAGATCTTAAGTTTGGCCAGACTACCCTAGATGAAATAAGCTTTTGTGAAGCACGAATTCCAGGGTGTGATAAAGAATGCATAATTTTGAAAATTTTATACCGAAACTTAATTGGGATAAACGGACGAGCCTTGCCTGTTGATACATCACAAAACAATTCAACTGATTCGTCATCTAAATGAAACTTTTCCAATAACAAAGAAGTATTGTCTGAATTCTGAAAGAACTTTAGTTCCTGATCAGTTTCTTGTACTTTCGCAAGTTCTAAATAATTAATATTTTCCAAACAAATCAAATTTAACTCAATGCGACTTAGAGCATCGGCAACAGCATTGTTTTTACCTGAAATATGTCTAATATCTGTAGTAAACTGTGAAATGAAATCTAAATGTCTAAATTCTCTAAGGGAATATTTATCTGAATTTGATTTGATTGCATATACCAGTGGCTTATGATCTGTTAAAATATGAAAAACCCTGCCTTCAAGTAAATACCTGAATTTTTTGATAGCCAAATAAATTGCCAAAAGTTCTCTTCCAAATGTACTATATCTCTGTTCAGTAGGTGTAAGTTTTTTTGAAAAGAAACACACAGGCTGCCAAAAATTATTATGATATTGTTGAAAAACTGCACCTACTGCAAAATCAGAAGAATCCACCATAATGTTCAGAGGTACATTTTCCCTAGGGTGATTTAAAAATGTTGCAGTAGCTAATGCTTCTTTAATCTTGACAAAATCATTCTGAGCACAATTTGTCCAAACAAAATTCTTTTTCTTATTAGATTTAACGAGATCATACAAGGACTTGCATAAATCTGCACAATTTGGAATAAATCTATGGTAAAAATTTACCATACCCAAAAATTCTTGGAGCTTGCGTTGAGAAGACGGAACCGGGAACTGTCGAATTGCTTCAACTTTTGCAGATAAGGGTTTTATTCCTCTGCCATTAACTAAATGACCCAAAAATTCTATTTCATTCAACCCAAATTTACATTTTTCTGGGTTCAAAATTACGCCATATTCTTCTAGTCTTTGAAAAATTTTGTGTAAATGTTCTTCATGCTGTCCCTCAGTTTTACTAGCCACGAGAATATCATCAAGATACACAAAGCAAAAATCAAACCCCCGGAGTACCTCATTAATGAACCTTTGAAATGTTTGAGCTGCATTTCTCAATCCAAAACTCATTTTTACATATTCAAATAGTCCAAATGGTGTAGTAATTGCGGTTTTTGGAATATCACAAGGTTCAATTGGAATCTGATGATAAGCTCTAACTAAATCTAATTTTGAAAACAATTTTGCATCAACACAACTACCTGAAAAGTCTTGTATATTAGGAATTGGATAACGATCAGGAATTGTAACATTATTAAGTGCTCGATAATCTCCTACAATACGCCAATTATCTGAACCTTGTTTAGGTACCATATGTAAAGGAGAAGACCAATTACTAGAAGATACACGCACAATACCTAAATCTAGAAGCCTTTCAAATTCTTGTTTAACTATTTTTAAACGATCAGGCGCTAGTCGCCTAGTCTTTGCATAAACTGGATGTCCTCGAGTTTCAATGCAATGTGTTATGTTATGTTTTATTGTCAAATTTCGAGTAAGCGGCTTGGTAAGTAATGGAAATTTCAGTAAAATATTCGTAAATTGACAATTATAGAAATTACCTAGAGAAATAGGAGCTATGGATGAAATATTTGAAGGACAACCTATAATATTTTGATACGTTAAAGCATCTATAACTTGCCTCCTTTTCATGTCAACTAGCAGATTAAAATTTCTCAAAAAATCAGCTCCCAAAATTGATTGTTTTATATTTGCTATAACAAATGGCCATTTAAATTTTTTCTTAAAACCAAAATCCAGAACTAATGATTTGGTCCCAAAAGTTTCAATAACAGAATTATTCGCAGCGAAAAGAGTTTTATCATACTTGTTTGTTGGATTCATACCTTTAGAGAAAGCTAATAGACTTATCTCTGCACCAGTATCCACAAGAAAACGATGACCGGAAATAGAATCCTGCAAATAAAACAAATTCTGGGGAAAGGCTTTGTCAAAATTATTAAAACAATAGTTGCTGACATCTAATTGCGAACCTAAAACATTGTTATTTAAAGATTTTTTGAATTTATTTTGCGACCTACTAACATTCTTAGCCTCCGCACAAGGAGGAATACACTTGTCAGCCTTGTCTCCAAATCGTTCATGATACCAGCACAACTTAGAGTTTGAAATTGGACTGGCACTCCTACTTCGGGATGAAATGATGGTTTCTCTACTTCTATTAGATCCGCTATGGTGAAAATTACTTTTGTTGCGAAAACCAAATTGTAAATTTTTAATCATTTTTTTGATGTCTTCCATGTCACTTTTAATTTTGTCAACCTCCGAAAAACTATTGACAGCAGAAACATTGACAAGTTCAGTTTTAGAAATTTCGTATATATCATCAGCTTTTTTTGCCAAATCTTCTAAAGAAATTGTATTAGCTGTAGATAAAAGGATCATCTTTACATTGGATGGAAGCCGCTTCATCCATATTTCCATAAGAAAGCTATCGTCCAACTTAATATCACCTACTAATTGCTTCATCCTACGAAGTAATTGGGAAGGAGTTCTATCACCAAGTTCCTCGGAAGCAATTAATTGATTAATCCTTTTCTGTAAGGATATTGAAGTTCGCTTGAT